AAAAATGGTGAAAGTCTATCTTGGTAGGAGTGTTATGGATTGAACTCAGCCAGGTTTTCTGCTTAAGCTGTAAAAATCACTTGAAATATTTTCCCTATGGGGCTATATATTCTTCTACAGTTCAACAAGGCACTTCAGGCAAGGTTTCTCTTTCATCTCAAAATGATGGAGTAGAGTACTATAAAATCTGTTTTAGAATTCATCTTTTGTCTTGTTTGTTGTTAACGAAGTTGTGGACTTTTATCTTCTAGTAACTGGCCTTGTGGTTAACATTTGGGTAGTTGGGAAAGGTCATAGGTACACACCAGTGTTAATCATCACATCATAAAAGAGGCAAGAGGAAGCACAATAATCAGATAGCTTGCTTTGTATGTCTGCAAACCACTGCTAAACTGAAAAATATTTTTTTTTCAGCTTGCTTTCTGGTCTACATCTTGTTTGTTTATTTTTAATACTTGCCATTACATTTCTTTTCATAGGTTTCAAAATTAAAATGAGTAGATGACAAAAGTTAATGTCATTTTTCAGACATAAACTGAGTGGTCTAGCTGTATTTGGGGAAAAACATTAAATAATGAGTTCAGGTTGACAGATGAAAACTGAAAGGAGAAACACTATGAGTGGCTTTTACTATGTGTAATTTCTACTTTATGCGTGATGCATAAAGGTATTGCCCACTGCAGAAACTTACTGTCATATGGGGATTGTGCCTGTTGGATTAATTGAGCCTTTTAATTGGTGTCAATCTGGATCAAAATGTGCTGTAACTCCACCATTTTCAGTTGAGTTGCACCTCAAATCCTGTGTTCAGTTCTGGACCCTCACTGCAAAAAAGACATTGAGGGGCTGGAGCGTGTCCAGGGAAGGGCAACAGAGCTGGGGAAGGGTCTGGAGCCCAATTCCTGTGAGGAGCAGCTGAGGGAGCTGGGAGTGTGTAGTCTGGAGAAAAGGGAGGCTCAGGGGGACCTTCTCTCTTGCTACAGCAACTTAAAAGAAGGTTGTAGTGAGTTGAGAGTCAGACTCTTTTTCCAAGTAACAAGCAGTAGGACAATAGGAAATGGCAGCAAGTTAAGCCACAGGAGGTTTAGACTAGAGAAAAGGAACAATTTCTTCTCTGAACGCATTGTCAAGCACTGGAACAGGTTGCCCAAGGAAGTAGTTGAGTTACAACCTTGGGAAGTATTTAAAAGATGTGTAGATGTGACACTCAGGGACGTGGTTGAGTGGTGGTCTCACAGTGACAGTGCTGGGCTAATCGGTGATCTCAAAGGTCTTTTCCAGCCTGAATGATTTTGTGCTTTATACAAGGAGGATATTGATAGTGCTGAATTGTGAAGCAAAGTTACTATATATTCCTGATGCTATTTAAAGTAGTAATGACACAAAAGTTGTCATGATGTGACATTGAGTGTGTGCCCCTTTATTTTAGTACAGAAGAAACCAAGAATAAAAGCCTATTTGAAGAATGGCGTTTGAGGTACTAGGCGGGTGTATGTTTTACAAGCCCTGCACACCAGAGATTTGGCAAAGGGCTGTATTCTATCACATGCTAATACAAGTCTAAATAGAAAATGTGTTACCTTATTCCTTTATTTAAAATGAAATGTACTGCAATTTTCTTATTGTAATAGTGATTCCTGCAAAGGTTTTCCTTGTTCAAATAGCTCATGCTCATGATTGGCACCTTAGAAATCTGAGAAGTTTGAGTGAGTGAGTTGACACAAAACAGTTTGCAAACATTAACCCCCCAACAGCTGTAGGCAAGCAGTGTGGGAGGATTGCTCTCTTCACCAGTGCAGGAACCATGGCATTGAAGCAGTTGTTTCTTTTCCACAGAAAGCATCTCCTTTATAACAGAATCTACCATCACCTCTGTGGCAGGGATGCCACTGACACACACACGCTGGTGGACACTTCTCTCTCAGGATAGGGTAGCCCCTGGACTAAAGCATTTTGAATTTCAATAGAAATAGCTTCCTGTTTCACCTTTGCCTTGTGCCCGTTTCTCTCCCAGCCTTGGGTCGGAAAACTCGGTAGAAACAGCTATTGATGTAACACAACATTTCTTCTGAGTGCTGTTTCCACCACAGTTTCTCAATGATTTTACTCCTAAGAAGCAAGTATTAAATTCCACCCCTCAAAACACTCTATGAGAGCATCAGCACACAGCTAAGATCTCCCTCTGTATGTCTCCTTTTTTTCTCCTTTTGGCATTTGGGCCAAAAGCCGCCAAGGGCTGGTATCTGTATACCCACTCAGGTCTTCTCACCTAATCTTCTGACTCTCCTTGCATAAAATGGCACTTTCACCTGTAAGAGCTTTTCTTTCATGTCCAATGGGAAAAATAAGACTGTTCTCTTCATCATACCAGACAGGTACAAGATAACCTATTTCTCAGGAACTTCTGTATTCCTCTCTTATTTTCCAGGAAGGAAAAATAAAAGCACTTACCTTCAAGGTTTTACTGTCTCTATTTCTGCCTAAAAATCCCTTATCTCAGAGTGAGCAAGCAGAACACTATAATCTGTATCTGATCTGTCTCCATTGTAGGAACACCAGTAACAGCTTACAAAAAACATTATTAATATTTTGTTAATTCATGGACATCACTTTTAGGAATTAGAATACAAGAAGAGGGGCTAGATTATATGTCAGATTGCCTTTACTGGATTTATTACCTCCTGTACATAAACTCGCCCTCCATGCTGTCGCATGCACCAAATTCTCTCTCCCCATTCCCCATTTCAAGATACTCTTGCTGAAGTTTCCTGGTGTTCCAAGGCACAAGGCATCCATTGGCCATTTCCTTTCTAGCTGTTTGTGCTCTCAAGGACTGTGGTAATGAACTTTCTGTCTTGTGCCCAGGTGTGCTGTGGTGAGTATCAAAAAAGGAGTTTGTGCCAGAGAAAAATGCAAGCCAGACTAAGGCTGTCCTGCAGTTACAGGTGTGTAGAAGGTGTTTGTTAGGGCCCCTGCCTCAGAGGAGTGTTTGATTCTGTGTGGAAACCAGCAGGCACCAAGAGTTGCTGGTGCAGAATACTAAATACTTTTACACTTAAAATTCAGGTGTAGGTTGGGTGTTCAGCAGCATGCATGCTCTGAATCAAGGGGAAAAAAATTCCCATTTTCCAGCATCCCTGAGGATTAGCTGTTATTACTAACTCATTAATTGTTATGGTCATATCTATCCTTTTTTTATAAGTAGAAGTTCATGGAGGATGTGTAGCTGAAGGAGATCCTTCCCAGCGGGAAACATCGATACCTTCAACCATTCAGTCTCTAAAAATCTCCCACTTTCTAGAGGGTTTTACTCCTTTTTAATGTTTGTCAGTTTGGTCGACTGTCAGCTGGCAGAGTATTTGGATGTATGTATCAAGAGACTAAGGAAAGGGGTGAGTGTGCTCTCCAGCAGCTATAGGGTGTTCAAATCCTTTGTGTTTTAACATGAAGGAATTTGCTGTGAATTCGTGGGCTCAGTTCCTCCTCTGTAGGACAGGAGTCAGTTCCTTGATTGCCTTGCTGTTTTGCTGAAGGTGGGACATTTTATTTTCCACACTTGTGATGCCATGGTGAATAGAAAGGCTTTTCTGTGATTAAAAAAACAAAACAAAACAACACAAAAACCTAAGGGCCTAGTTCACTGCAATATTGCCATTTAATTTGTTCTGTATTTTAAAGATATTTGAACCTTTTAAATATGCTCTGATGTCTCAAGCACGACATAAAAACTTTATACTCTGAATAGCCAAGTAATAATTCCTAATGCCCTTCAAGTAGGGTCTGGGACTTTGTAGGTGCTCTAGCTTTTATGTGCATGTGATTGAACAAAGAGTCTCCCAGCTCCCCCTTGTGTGGATGCTCAACTCTGCTACATCAGGCAGAAAACAACTGTGATTTGTGCTGCTTTTGATCAGACATTTCTACAATGCTTTGCTGCTGGAAAGCAGAATAATACTGTCACAAATTCTAAATTAACAAAATATGCCTAGAAGGGATTGGTAGTTCTTGTTCATCTGATTAATGTCAGGCTTGTAAAGTCTGTTCTCCAACAAAAACAGCAGCAAATGCTCAAGTGAGAGATGTTAAAAACAGAGACTCTCCATTTTAGTGGATCTTTGTGTTTTAGTTATATTCTCTTAGTGAAGCACCCAGGACGAAATCACAAAATCAACTAGCATCAAGGGAGTTGAATTAGCTTATATCTGTGTTCACTTTTAATTAGATTTGAAATGGCTATCCCACTGTAGTGCAGAAACCAAGTCAGTACCATCCCCTCAGGCCTTATTACTGACAACAACCCTAGCATAGATCTGCATATTCAGCAGTCAGGTGGATAGGTGCTCTGTGTTGGGAAATACGGGCAGGATTTGAAAAACACAGGATATCTTTTGTACAACTCAATTTTTGCTCTTAGGCTGGGAAACAGAGGGACTTTTCTTTTCAAAATGTTCATATTCTGGCAGGAGTTTTTTGATGCAGCTTTTGTTTAACAGGTATCATTTTATGATAATATTTTTCTGCTCAACAGTGGAATGAAGGCAGCACTGGTAGCAAGTACATTCTGTGCCACCTGATGTATTTCTACGGGTTTATTTTCCCCTTATGTACATTTCTATTCCTTCAAGATGTGCTCTGAGGCATTTCCAATTTCAGCATTCTGCTTGTCTCATCTAATTCAATTATAAGCTGTTCTGGGCAAGGACCATATCTGGGTTCTGCTTTCAAGTTTCAATATCCAACAGTTTTGCAAAGTAATCTTCAAAAAAAAGTATCATGATGAGGGAGGGAGCTTAACTTATCCACAGGGATTTGTCATGTGAGAAGAGCATGCCCTGACCTCCCAACTTTCAGCAATATTGTACCCACAGGCACTCCTACCTGTACCCCCACTGGAAATGCTCAGTGTGATAGCAGTTTTTGCTTAGGGTTTCCATTAGATGGGGAGAGATTTTTCTTCTCTTTATTTCTCATTTTCATTTTCCCATTTGCTTCTCTTTCAGGCGTGAACAGAAAAGTCACCTATTCCCTGTCAGACTCTGCTGATGGTTACTTCTCAGTTGACCGGTCATCAGGAATTATTATTTTGGAACATCCACTTGATAGAGAGCTTCAGTCCTCCTATAACATCACTGTAAAGGCCTCAGATCAAAGCATTGTGCTGACCTTGTCCTCGTTTGCCACCGTTACCATTACAGTGCTGGACATTAATGACAACCCTCCCGTGTTCGAAAGAAGAGATTATCTTGTTACAGTACCTGAAGACACCTCACCTGGCACCGAGGTCCTTTCTGTTTTTGCTACAAGCCAAGACATTGGTACAAATGCTGAGATTGCCTATCTCATCAGATCAGGGAATGAGAAAGGGAAGTTCAAGATTAACTCAAAAACAGGTTTGTAAAGTGGCTCTTACTTGCAGTGCTAAATTAAAGCATCAGAAAAACATGAATGCTTTGGGGAAGGCTCTTGGACCAAAAGACTTCCAAGGCCAGAGACTCACAGCTTATCATTGTGTAATTAACTACACAGTTAAAAAGCAATTTTAGGTTGGAGAGCGATGTCAATTACAGTCACACATGGCTGCCCCAGCTCAAGTGGAGAATACTTTTCTGCATTAGTAAGTCTGTCGAAGCCAATATAGATGTGACAACCTATTAGCCAAACTCTGCGAAACACTTCCGAACACTTGCAATGTTCACTTGCTTACCAGCTGGGTACAGCCCCAACTGTCTGCCCCTTAGAAAGCATCAACCAGTGCTACCAGGACCTGTTAGGACCAATTCAGTCCTAATACATGATTGCCATTTATGTAGCTATATGCAGCTTCCCTGACTTAGGTTGTTCTGATTTGTCTTTTTGACTTCAGCCGTGGCTTGGGTTGAGATTATACATCACAAATTTTAGCAGTCCACCACTGCTTCTCTATAGCAAATTTCAAGCAAAGGTATCATATTTGGTGTAAATGGCTCATTCTCTTTGAATTTCCTCAGCAGGATATATTATTTATCCTCACTGAGTTTTTATTCCATCATCTGTAAGCTGGTTCTTCTATGCTTCCTGTAGTGGATCCCCTTCCTCTCATAGCATCCAGTCTGAGCAGTACAAATCTGCCACCTGAGTCTGAGAGCAAAGCAGTCTTGATTTTAAAAGCTGAAGAGAGCACTTCTTTGGGTGCAACTGCAATAGCCAGTAACATAAAAAATCTCAAAATTATGCATTGTGTCATTTCTATAATTGTGTGCAAAAATTGCTCTCCATTCTGCAGAGGCTGCTGCCTCTCATGTGAAGGACTTAACGTAACTGTGTGTTGTCTGTCATCTTCATCATGTTGATTAGTGCTAGCAAAATTTAAACATAAATATGCCTAGGCAGCGATACTTAACTTCACATTTGACAATGAAGCCAAGGAAATAAATCAATAAAAACCCATAATGAAGCTTAATCACACAGGAAAAAAAACCCCAAAACTAAAACTATATATTATTCATTAATGTGTGACAGCTCCATTATTATCCGTTTAGAGGCATGAGCTCAGTTTCTAGACAGCAGAGTGGTGATGTAGCATGCCTGATCAGAGCTTGAAAAATAATGTCCTTCACACCATTTATCAGTGGGACCTAACTCTCTGCTAGCCACTTGGAAGCTTCTCTTCAAGGCTCCTGCTTTCAGCAAGTCATGCTGAAAGGTGGAATTTGTTTGGAGAGAGCCCAGACAAGATTAAGAGGAATAATCGGAGGTCTGTAAAATGTGACTTAACAGGAAAGACTGGAGGAATTAAAGGCTATTTTAGCTAGAAAAGAGAAGACATGCTGTTAGTTTTCATGCGTATAGAAATTACCTGTTGAAGAAGAGGGAAATAAACTGTAGTCCATGCCCAGTCGTAAGAAGTGAATGGGTTTAAATTACATTTGGATTACTTTGGTAAAATTATAGGAAGAAATTCCTAGCTGTAATGTATATTAAGGCCTGAAATACATTTCCTAAGAAGGTTAGGAAGCTGATATTGTTGAAGGTTTGTAAGAACACTAGAAATCAGATCATTTCTGTCCTAGAGGGAATCTGGTTGTATGCAGTGAATCAAGTTACAGAGAATCTTAATTTTGGTTGTGTGGTGAAGTTACACAAAATTTATAGACGTAGTTGAGTGGGGAAGTCTCTGTTTAATCACTTAAATGATAGACAGCTTTCTCAGAGGTATTCATATCCTATTCATTTGTATTTAATTCATGAGAAGTTAATTGTGTGGGAGTGAATTTCTGTTGACTTGTCAGGGCTTATTTCCAGAGTCGGCATCCAGTTCTCCCAAAGGCTCCGTGAATGAGATGGTAAATGGGTGAATATGGCCCCCACTTCTTCATCTATGATACTCACATAATGAATGCTATTTTCATGAGGAGCCATTCATTGCCTCATGCCTTGTAAAGGTCCTTTCTACAAAGGCAACCTAAGTGCAATTGGCATCATTCTTTAATCAAACGACAGCAGCAGAAACCTGAATAAACATTTTTATTGGATTGGGCAGTCTTACAGTTAGTGTTGTATGTGTGCCATGGTGATAAATAGCATGCTGTACTGTTTACTACAGTCAAATCCCTTGCTCTGTGGCATTATTTATTTTTTGCCGGCTGTTGACATTGCCTCCTTTGCTTCAAAGGAGTGATTTCCATTATTGAAGCTTTGGATTTTGAATCGTGCAAGGACTTCTACTTAGTAGTGGAAGCGAAGGACGGAGGAACGCCAGCCCTGAGCGCGGTTACGACGGTGAATGTGAACGTGACGGATGTCAACGACAACGCGCCCACGTTCAGCCAGGCTGTCTACAGCGCCGTCATCAGTGAGGACGCGGCCGTCGGCGACTCCGTGGTCATGGTGAGTGGGACCGTGGGTGGCTTTTAGGTGCTGTGAAGCCCTCTGCCCCTAAAAAACTGCTGCGCTGCTTAATTATGATAATTATTACGTCTTGAGGCCCCCAAACCATTTTCTAGACAATACTCTGCATCTGCTACTGCTCCCCAAGCTGCTGTCAGTTTCTCCCCAAAAGAAAGTGGCAGGACTGAGCCTTTCTTTTTAACCCTGTTGTGCTGTCAGAGAGTAATGGCATGTTTTAGGTGTTGCAGTTGAATCAGCTAGAATAAAACAGACAGGTTTTAACAGAAAGGCAGAATCCTACTTTTCAGTGAAATACAATCATGGAGTTACAGGCTTGGATGAGATCTTAAAAATCATCTAGTTCCAATCCCTATGCTGTGCACAGGGACACCTTTCACTGCACCAGGCTGCTCAGAGCTCCAAATGCATAGTATTTGTATAGTCTGGCATGCAGTGTGCCATCCCCAAACCTCACAATATTCTCATCTTGCAGCTTGTGGCTCCAGAGAGAGAGTGTTGTATGGAATATTAAGATTAAAATATTCTGTATGTTCTCAGACTAGAATTTTGAAAAGGCCCAAGTGAAGCCTCCTAACAAAAACCTATTGGATTGATGCTTTGGAAGTGTGCAGCTCAGGTATAACTAGTCTGATGGAATGTGAAGTTTACTTTTTGGTGTGTTGCGTAATTAATGTATCATACAGATCACTTTATATTTGTTTTTTCTAATTTTTTATTCTTCTCTCAAAAAAAGTTGATAGCAGAAGATCTGGACAGTCCTCCCAATGGTCAGATTCATTTTTCCATAGTGAATGGGGATCAAGACAATGAATTTTCAGTTGATCCTGTTTTGGGACTCGTGAAGGTTAAAAAGAAATTGGATAGAGAAAGGGTAAGACATGTGGGACTTCTTAACTTGCAATGACTTACAGATGTGCATCAATCTCCACTCTGCTGCTAGCTTGTGTTGAAGGAGTTTCTTTTATACTCTGCAGCAATCAGCCTGAGATGCTCCAACAGGTCTTTCTAACATTTTCCCACTTCTTTCCATGTCCCCACTCTATCTACATGCCAACTGCTCTGCTGCCACTTCCACCCTGCACCCTCACAGCAGCTGGGGTCACATCAGGGGAGAGGAGCAGCACTGGATTTGTCCTGTGGTGCCAGCAGGAGCTGCTGCTGTGTTAATGAGCTGCCTCCTCTCCCCTGTGCGTGCAAGCTCACACGTGCAGCCGTGTGTGCAACAGAGTGGTTACAAAACGCTCCAGATTGTGGCACCGAGCGCCGAGCTGAGACCTCAGCCATTAATTAGCGCTCTGCAAAACATGTCACTGGGGAGGGGATGTTATGAAGTGGCCAGGCTGTACCAAAAGTGAAAGAGTGCTTCATTAAATAGGTTCTGCTGCTTTGTTTGCTCACTCCATTATTCATTCAGGATTATTTATCACCATTATTTATCACCATAGCTAGCAATTAGCAGCTTTTGGGGGAAAAAACAAACAAATGCAGTTGCCTGTGCTACTAGCAGGGCAGGAGAGTGCTACATGGCTTCAGAAACCTTGCAGCACATAAGGAAATCTCTGCCTCCTGCCTCTGAACAATGCACCCACAAAACTGGGGAAGCAGATTGCTACCTTCAGAATATGGGCTCAGCTGGAGAAGCTCATTACTGGAAGTAAACCTGCTATTTAAAACAGTGGCAAAAACCTCTTTCAGTATTATCACAAAAGCAGGATTAAATTGTTCATGTTTGGTGGTAGAATGACTTTACCACAGACTGTCTAAAACAGGGGGGTGACAATGGCTGTGCGTGTTACAAGTTGACTGTAATAAAGGCACAGGCAGAGTTCCTTAATATGACTTTCTCTAGTTTCTGAAGTGCAGTCATGTGCAGCTGCATTCAGACACACACACTTACCCTCACCAGAGTGTGCATGTGTAATGCCAGCTGTGTTAGGTCTGCATTTTCCAAGGTTTCCCTCAGTTAAAATAAGCTGTGATATTGTCTTTTTCTTTGCTTCCTTGGCACATTTCATAGACACAGGTGTTTCTGACCCTTTCAGGAAAAATTATATATGATGCCCCATCTGCTGTAGATCCCCAAAGGTAGTGCTGACTCCCAGGATTCAGTGGTTTAAGGGGACTTATTTCCAGAGCTGTAATCACACGGAGACCATGACTTTTGCCATCTACCTTTCTGGGATACATTGAAATGAAAGCAAACACAGAAAAAAAAATTGGGAAAGATTCTACAAAACTCTCTGGTTTTAGCTAGCAGTGGAAGTTATGGTTAAAAAAGAGATTAATTATCTTACTCAAGTTTCTTGACTTTCCATAGTTCAGAATTCCTCTTCCCTCCTTGTGTCACTTTGGCCCCACCAAATCACAGTCTATCTCCTCCATACAATACCCCAAAAGTGTTCCCTTTTGCTTTGTATTGGTCCCACATCCCAGAAGAGCCCCCTTATTTTGTGTGCTCAGTCTGAGCTCCTTCCCACCACTAAAAAAGCTGTCATTTTCCAAATGTATTTGGATTTCCTTCCCTCCCACGCCCTTCCCAAAAAAGCCCCTTGAACATTATCTTGTTCCCCTCTGCAGGAGCATGCTTTTCCCCTTCCCAGCCCTGCACTGAGAAGGTGGAGCAGAGTGTTGTATCTGGCATGTTTCACCCTTCTCTTGCTCTGCTGTGGGAGATTCAGGGGCAGACATGTCAGCAGCTTTCCCTGCGGAGCAAGGAGCAATATACAGTAAGAAGCAGTTGTAAGACCTAAGGAAGCCAACATAAGGATGCGGTTCAGAAAATCCAACTGTCACCCATAAACTGTGCATAGACAGAGCTTTTGCAAGTTGTCACATATGCTCACACCTCACACACGGGCACATATGTATGTAGAGGGCCTGTGGATGATGCGCTGAACTGCCTGCACTGCGCTGTTTGTGTCTGTTGCAAAAAAGCAGACTCAAGCCCACTTTATCTTCTGCAGAGTGGTGGATAATATTCTGTTGCTACAGAGACTGTTGTCCCTCATACTCCCAAATGTTTTCCTGTGTGTTTAAGCCAACTGCCTGTGAACTTTTTCTTGGCTCTCCATCGCTGCTTTAGAAACAGTATGTGTCAAACTGACGCTGGCTCTAATAAGCAATTTATATAATATATTGGAAACCAACTGTAAGATAAATAGAATCAGGTCACTTATCCCAGTGGACACTTAGAAGAGATGAAAATGTAAGCTTACAGGACTAATGGCTGAGTTCAGATTTTATCTGTCATTTATTTTCTGTCTGCACCTTTGTTTCAGAAATGCTTTATCTGATACAGTTATTTTAATACAATGAAGCTGTTATGCTTATTGGTAGCCTTATGAAACAGAAGTTGGAGCACAATGTGGCAATAAACAGAATAATGTTATACTAAGGGCGGGAAAATAATGAGGCCAAACAGCTTTCCTTAGAATGTGGAAGGTGGTGCAATGAATGTGAAGAACCTGGGTTAAATTTTAGGACCTCTTTCACAGTGACTTAATGTTTTCATCTTTTTTCAGATATCTGGTTATTCATTAGTTGTCCAGGCAAGAGACAGTGGTACCCCTCCTTTGTCTTCATCTGTGACGGTCAATGTGGACATTTCTGATGTGAACGATAACAGCCCTGTGTTTACTCCAGCTAACTACACAGCTGTAATTCAAGTAAGTTCATCCTGCACATCAAAAACTTCTCTGACTTCTAAAATGAATGGGCATTTGGTTTCAGTTAAGTACCTTTTGATGATCTATCTGCAAAACATGTATCAAGTGATCTTATCTAAAGGAAAATATAAAAAAATCTTTCTTGAGTCTTTTGGTAAATTTCTGTTTGCTGAGGCTCCTTAACCACAGCATCTGTCACACATTTTAGCATTCATCCCTGCTGCACCAGGTACTCCAACTTCAAAATGTCTGCTCTGTGATAAGTTCACACTCCTTTATACCTCGCTCTGGGTGTGAGTCTTGACTTCTAGTCAGTCCTGTATCAGAGAGAGCCCAGCAAGCCCTGGAGGTGTGGCGGGTACCTTCATCTCTGCCGCTGATCCATGGGCCGTAAGCGGTCTCAACAAAACTGATCTTGTGAAATGCCAGCTTGGGCAAAGAGCATTCAGTTGAATATTCACAATAGAAAAATGTGGTATTTTATGGTTGCAACATGTATCGTTTTAATCCTTTTCTTTATACGCTGTGTATATGTGTAAAGGAAAATAAACCAGTGGGCACAAGCATTTTGCAGCTGGTAGTGACAGACAAAGACTCTTTTCACAATGGCCCCCCTTTTACCTTCACCATCCTCACTGGCAATGAAGAGGAGGAGTTTACACTGGACCCTCATGGTGTTTTGAGGTCTGCAGTCATCTTCAAGCACATGGTCTCAACTGAGTATGTGCTCTGCGTGCAGGTAAGGTTTGATTTTTACATCTACACTCTACACTGAAATAAAAAATTTCTTAGTGATAGGTAACCTGTACTTTGCCTGTATGGGTTGTTTTTAATGGGCTGTATTCTACAAGTAAATACCACACATTCCAGTTTGCAAATGCACAATGCAGAATATTTTCTTTGATGTTCTTAAACCTGGTTTCATATAAATATAAATAGGTAGCCAACCACCTTTCCAATTTCCTCGGCATGAAATGAATTTTCTGAGCAGCGACCGTTATGGTTTAAGATTTTCATCATTTTTTTCTGTAGCTAAGGAAGGAAAATAAGAAAAAATGCATTACATACATATAAATACACCCCAGAACAAGCAACTGCAAAGTATTGCTTTAGGAATGAAAATAATTTCTGCTTTTAAGTCATAAATATAATCATAAATTTTGGAAGCCTTCCAAGAATTCATGAAATCACATTTCCAAGGTCAACTTAGCTTTTAAAGAATGTCAAAATAAGACATGCAATAGAAGTCAAGCTCAAACTTAGCTTTAGAATAATCGTTGAGGAGTTTTGTAACCAGGGTAATTTTGATTGCCAAAACCTGTAAATCCAAAAGTAATTTGTCCACATTTCTCAGGTCTGCCAGAGAAGATGTATTAGGGTTCAGTAAATATGCAGGTCTAGAGAATGAACCTCTTCACTGAAATGAGTCAGGGTCCCATAAGCTGTGTCTGAAATTCTTGCTTCCTCCACTTGCTTTGCTGGGGTTGATCTCTCTAAGCACAGCCTGTCTGTTCCTTTACAAGCACTTTTAATGATGTTCACAGCAGTAGCATCCTTGGAGGCAATTGTTCGTTACAATTCACAAAATATAGGCTCTGATGCTAACTAACAGTTCAAATCAAAGTTTTACAAGTTTGCCATGTAATATCCTTGAAACCTATTTTTTAGCCTTGCAGGGAAATAAAAAATCATCACCTTTCTTTCTTTATTTCTTACCATGCCTTAATAGTAAAATATCCTGCTTTCAGGGTCATTTGCTAGCTGGAGTTCTAGTGTAGCCAAAACTGGGCATGAGAGTTAAATTTGAGCAGCATACTCCAGGTTTAGAGATCCATATATTTCATGTAAATGAAATATTAGACAGACCACCATATGTGAGGTGCACCAACATGCTCAGAAAACCATGCTGTTGGATTGTGGAGGCATGATTTCTCCCAGTATTATTTTCTTCAGGGATTACTGCAAATAACATACAAAAACATAGTTTCCTGTTGTGTTTAGACCATAGAAGTGTTTCTTTCCATCCATATGTGCCAGAGTGCTGTTTTCTCTTTTCCACTATCAGGTTTCTACACTGTATTTGATTTATTAGGAATTAATGTTGAAATAGAAAATGGAATGAGACCTAATCTCTTCTCTGTGTACATGGGTATTTGTCTGCACACATATAAAAAATGGTTCTAAATATTCCACAGATCTCTTTTAGGAGTGAGGATGAATGAATTTTAGAGTGTCTTAGCGTTATTAATCTGCTCGTAGTAGTGTCCATATTTTCCTTCAGCTTGTAAATTTTCCTCCCATGTCCAAACACGAAGATCTTTGAACATGTCCTACATCTTTGCCTAGTGGCAGTGTAGTCTCTGTTCTTCTCTGAAGCAAATAAATGTGTGGAGCAGTGTATCATACTAGGGACTGCAATAAAACATTTTTTTTTATTGTAGGAAAGGACCCTGATTCAATTTTGCACACCTTTCTGTCAAGATGGCCTTGGGATTTTTGTCATACTTGCTCTTTTGCTTTCTATAAAAATAGTGCAAATGATGCTATAATACCTGCTCTGGGTCATCCAGTCATCTTTCCAACTGCAATGCTGCTCTCATATTTTGTCATTAGTAACAGCACAAGCACCTATATCATATTTGGAGGATGATAAATTTTATTTATGTCAAGCATGTTTCTTGATTGCTTCAGGTAAAGAAGTGCAGAATGCTGTAGAAGAATTCTGAACTCCCTCACATCCACACAAGCTAAGCAGGGTGTGGAGTGCTTTGGAGCACACCAAGCAATGCAGAAGGGTGACATTTCACTGAAATTCAGTCTCTTCTCCAGGGTAGAAGTGAGCCCAAACTGTGTTTGGAGCAGAATATACCACATTGTTGGTATATTCTCCATTGTGAAGATGACAAGTGATAGCTGTGGGATCCTGGGAACATTTCAGTTTGAGTAATGAGACATTCTACTGGCACATTTTTCTCTGCAGTCCACTTAGAGATCAGTGCTTCCCTGAAGCATTTGTAAGTTCTACTGCTAGAAATGGCTGAGACACTTCTTTACATATATATTTGGCAAATGCATTTGAGCGTTCTTTTGAGAATTTCTTTTCAGAATTACTGATGCTGTGAGAATATACATAGCAAGAAGTTACGGTTACAGGCTGTGTTCCATGTGTGTTTTTATTTCTTTTTTTTTCTACTTTTTTTTTTCTAAATTACATTAGGCAAAGGACTCTGGGAAGCCTCAGCAGGTTTCCCATACCTATGTTCAGGTGAGGGTTATTGAAGAGAGCATTCACAAACCAACCGCCATTCCGCTGGAGATTTTCATTGTCACCATGGAAGACGATTTTCCCGGGGGAGTCATTGGGAAAATCCATGCCACAGATCAGGACGTGTACGATGTCCTCACATACACACTAAAATCAGAGCAGAAAAGTTTGTTCAAGGTCAACAGCCACGATGGGAAGATCATCGCCCTTGGAGGGCTGGATAACGGCAAGTACGTCCTGAATGTCTCTGTGAGCGATGGCCGGTTCCAGGTGCCCATCGATGTTGTGGTCCACGTCGAGCAGCTGCTGCAAGAAATGCTGCAGAACACGGTCACCATCCGCTTCGAGAACATTTCCCCGGAAGACTTCGTGGGTCTCCACATGCATGGGTTCAGGCGCACCCTGCGCAACACCGTGCTCTCCCAGAAGCAGGACAGCCTGCACATCATCAGCATTCAGCCGGTGGCAGGCAGCAGCCAGCTCGACATGCTGTTTGCCGTTCAGATGCACAGCGGTGGTTTCTATAAGCCTGCCTATTTGATTCAGAAGCTTACCAATGCGAGGAGACACTTGGAAAATGTGATTCGTATTTCTGCTATCTTGGAGAAGAATTGCTCCGGACTGGATTGTCAGGAGCAACACTGTGAGCAAAGTCTGTCTATTGATTCACATTCCCTGATGACTTACAGCACGGCACGAATTAGTTTTGTGTGTCCCCGCTTTTACAGGAATGTGCGCTGCATGTGCAATGGTGAGTACTGCTCCCTCTTCCCCTCCCATCGCTGCACATTATGCGATAGGATCCATTTTATTCCTCTGATGCAGATTAGAAGGGGCATTTCAATTCAGTCCACTAAAGCACGACTGGCTGATGTGTTGTGGGAATTGATTTCTCAGGCTCGGGAAGAATTGTTCGTGTTTACTGATGTAAATGGAAGTTTATGAACTTTGGCCTTTTACGACAAAGACCGCTTTTCTGGAGGCTCCGCAATCAGAGCCATCAGCCAGCTTCCAGGGAGGGGAAGGAGTGGGAGAGGAAGGGTGAGGAGAGGGAGGGATGTAGTTTCCCAATCAGTTGGTACCACCACTGGAATAAACCTGGATTGTGACCGCAGCAGAGCAGCCTGGTCTCCAGCAATGCACCAGCAGTCTCCAAGGAAAAGCACCCTGACCTAAGCCAGGCAGGTGGAAAGGCCTTTCGCAGTCCCATTGTTGCAGACAGCCACAGAAACCAATGAAGTGTTTTATTAGCAAGCGCTTTTCCTGACCTTTCATGCTGCAGTAGGGGACAGGGTGGGTTTTGGGCTGTTCCACATTTTGGCAGAGATTTCACATGGGCATATGACAAAGAGACTCGCGAGCTAAGCTTCTGTATGGTTCTGCACTTGGATTATAAAACCTCAGCAGTTACAATACTGGCTCTGTTTCTTTTGTTTGCCAGACTATTTGCTCCTCATTCCACTTCATTTAAGAGCAGAGAAAAAAGCTGCTGTAAAATCAATACATCTAAGTCTCTCTCATCTTAAGCACACATGCGCACACACACAGAGCAATACAAGAATTCAGTAGCCATATCCCTCAATAACCAGCCTTTGTTTCTGCAGCAATCAGCAGGGCTTCATGTTTTACCACTGACCTCAGTGGGGATGAAAATAGGCATAAATTGCATAAAACTTAACCAGAAATCATTTTTCTTCCTGTGGCACATGGATAATAGTGGCAAAGAAGTTCAATTCTGAAAAAAATACCATGATTCTCTATCTGAGGTACATTCAAGAACAGACTATCTGTCCACTTTTTAAGTGAGAGTCTTAAAAGTTTCAAATAGACATATCTATCATAACAATAGTCAGCATTTTGTTACACATGAAAGGCTCTGAAGCACAAGATTTTCACAGATTTAAAAGGGACAATGCTGCAATATCCTCCAGTCAGGTCCAGGAGCCAGTGCAGGAACACCATCTGCCAAACTTTTTTATATTCTCTAAGTTATGTTTAGTCTCATTTTTGTATCAAGAAATCACAAATCATCATCTCCATGGGGATAGTGATAGTCCTCACAGTCAGAAATTGGTTTTCTGGCAGCCAAAATTTTCACCGTTTTTCATTTCACTTCACTACCTATTAAAGTCAATAATGATGTATTACTCCCTCTGCCTCATAATCCCTTAGCTTAACTCCAAAAAAGGGACTTTGCAGTGCAGCACAGTTCTGACCCAGAAGCTCTTCTAGCATTGCAAGTTTGCAATGGAAGCACAGAAATTCAGCTGGGACAGCGATTTCCAAGTTCTTCTGTCATGTACCAGTCAATCCTCAAAATGGATGACAGGCTGCTGGAGAGGCAGTGTGGTTCTGAGAGCGACTGTAGTGCTCAGCTTCTGTGCCATTTATCATGGCCTTGAAGACTGCTGTGTGGGAACACTTGCAACAGGCAGCTTGTCCTGGTCCTGCTGAAAAGCTGGAGGGGTTCCTACTGCTCCTGTTAGAGCCACTAAGTTGGGATTTCCCATGGAGGATCCACACTATTTGGGGCAGGGTTGAGCACCTCCAGCCTGCCAATACAGCCTGTAGTAAAAAAATGTCTGGAGCGGCTGAGTTAGGTATAGTTGCCAAAGAGGTGAACACCTTGGTGTCTATTACTTGCACAGAAATAATACACCTTGGTGGGAAGCACACATTCATGCTTTGGGCCTTCTCCTCATTAGTTAATGCTTGATCCTCTTCTACTGTTTCTGATTAAAGGAGCTGCAGAAAATACTTTGGTATTTAGGTAAATACACTGTGTTTTCTCACATAAGAGATAACACAGACTTGTGAGAGTATAATAGAGAATGTATGGGTAGTTTGCCTTTCATGAAAGCTAAAGACTCGAGTAAAAGAGTTAGAAAAATGCAATATTTCTTCCCATCCATACTTCTTTAAATAAATGCACAGATGCAGCAATTCCGGAAAAAGTGCACAAATTTATTTTGGCTTGTTTAATGAGACAGCATTAGCAAGATATTAGCAGTGTTATACAAGTATTACACTTCCTTTGTTGTTAAAAGAGTTCCACATCCAGTAAATATTAATACCGTGAATTATGAAAAAGCCATTAAAATACTGCATATGTTTCCAGAGATCTGATTTAATTATGGCCCAGAAAGCTTGAGTTTGAACTAATTCACTCATTCTTGAAACATGTATCATATTTGGAGTGGTTTTGTCCACTGGCAGATGTCACAGATATGCACAATTTATGCATGCCAGCTGTGCATAACTTACCTAGATTACCTTTGTGAGCAAGCAGAGTTATCTAATGTGAAAATGCAGGGAGACTGTAAAGTAGGCAGTGGGTGAACTTCGGAGGTTCAGCAGCTTGTCTCTGGAAGGGTAAGTTCAAAAGTTCACATGCATCAATCTTAGCTTTTAAATCAATAAGATTGAACTAAAGAGTTTTCCAATAACAGACTGTCTCCTTAGATTTTTTGCTCATCTGTTTGTGTTTGTATGAAAAATATTGTCACAAACTGGGGTTTGTGTCAGCGTGACCAGAGGGGCTCTGCAATTACCAAGCTCCCATCACATGGCATGAGGTATGCAAACATCTGTCAGTGCTGGGAGAAATAAGTGTAGGAGGAATGGAATAAATATATTCCTGTAAAACATTTCTCACAGCATTCTCATTTTTTCAGAGGCAGAAATCTATTCCATATTTTTTCATGATGCAAAGTGATTCTTTTGTGTTGAGACAAAGGTGCAGGGGCAGAGCAGGTTTTGTTGGGACTACTTTGCTCTAGAGTTGTTCTGCATTATAATCTTACAAAAGTGATGGCGCATTAATATGTTCACGGGAGAGGAATGGATTCAAATAATCTTGACACATATGGGCCTATATCTACAACTGTGCTGGTCACTCCAGGCCCCATTTGCAGATAGTGGGAAGAATGAGGTATTTTTAATAATGTGATACATCTCTCCCTAGATGTCTAAAATCAGTCAGATGAATCATGCCCTAAAGTTAGATGAGATGAATTCCATTTCAAATGTTTAATATGGTTCTGGCCTAATAGTTCAAAAGAATTTTTCTAATTGACCCAGGAGTGTTCAGCAAAAGTGCAGACACATCCACATTATTTAATCAAGAGAACAGCAGCCTTGAAGCACTTTCTCATGAAACAAGGAAATTTAGACTTTATGAAGCCACTTTTAATATTTTGTGAATGCTCTGACAGAGGGAAATCATAGACTGTGAGGATCTTCTGTTAATGTAGGACCTAGTCTTCAGAGGTGATTTTTGCCCTCAGCTCCACAGAGCACACATTGCCTCTAAAAGAGTCCTGGATGCTTTGAAGGACTGGGCATCAGCAGCCCAGTCCTTATCTGTACAACACTGCTTTTCCCATTTTCAGGAAGCACACACATGCATATTAATGAGCCTGGAATTCCCCTGGTAAGGAAAATTGAACAAAAAAGTATGTGCTTGGGAACAGAGAACTGCAGATAACTTGATTAGATCTGGCTGTAGTCTGTTTTATGTCACCTTTGTCCCAGGAAGTTTTCTCCCTGTGTTCCTGCAACTCTGGCTTTCAAGAATCTCCAACCTTTCAAACTTTTTTTTTTTTTTTAAGTGAGAAAAACAGAATCTCATACAGATTCAGGAGACTGGGCTGAAAACCACCTAATATCACAAGGCTGAAGTTAAAATTGTTGAAGCACTCAATTTTCAAAATATATTTACAATCCTAGGTGTGCTACTTTTTTGAAGGAATAGGAATTAAATAAATCTCTCATCTTGCAGTGGAACAGTGTTTTCTGCCTCAGTATATTGGTTAGAAGATTGAAATACTTTTATCTTCTTTTAGAGAATTAAACTGAAGATGATATGTCAAAATCAAGTAGGTCTATTCCACCTTTTCCTGCCACGCACTGCTTATTGCTAGCTCGTGTGTTTCTGTGGTACCTTGTAAAGAACAGTTTTTATTAATACTAATGTGAGTTTCAAGAGAATGCTGTAGATTGTCTGGACCTGCCTAGAAAAAAAAAAAAAAGATCAATTTGAACCTATATTTCTTGAATGTTTTATTGGATGGAAAATAGACTGCTCTTTGGAGTGGAAATGCAACATTAGAATAATTTTATTTAAACTCAGGCTGTAAATCTTTGATGTGGACAACGTAACCTTGAACAATTTTACAATTTTGCTCCACACAGTTGTGAAATCAGCCTGAAAATGTGTGTTAGCTGGGGCAATGCAATAATGCAGATTTACTGTAGCTTATGTACTTATAACCATACAGACAGGCATAAAGCACTTCTCACAAGTCTGAATATTTTAAAGTTTTGTGACAGCTATGAAATCCTGCTGCAGCAGGATGAATAAAAAGTTGGTTTCCTTGTAGTTACCAGAAGGAGTATTCTTGGCTGTTCAGGATAAACAGTTCTTTCCACCGTTGCACGGAGTACGTTAGATCTTTTCCATATATTTTCTGAATGTGAAAGGATGGCTCTAATGTACAAATCAGAGTTTGAATCAGATAAAAAAACCTGGCAGAGGTGGATAACAAAGGAAGCTGTTCCTTTATTGCTTCATGTCAAGGATATAGTCATAGGTTAGGGGGTGCGAAAATTTGCAGAGCCACATTTAGAAATCTCAGTGCCTCTTTCTGCTGCACAGTGACGAGCTATGGGGCTTTAGTCCAAATGGCATGTCTGTCAGCTACACAGAGGCTCACTTGAACTGCAGCCTCACGAAAGGTTTAAGTTTGTTCAAAGAAGAGATATACTCTGCAGACATCAGAATGCTGTGTATTTGTCACGTAAGAATGAGTTAAAATAGGTAAAATAACCAAGGTGAAAATACAAAGCAACCTGTAGAATTTTTAACAACCTGTCATAACTTCAGAAATAATTGTTACTTGCCATTGAATTCTAAGAAATGAGGAGTTTTATTCTAAAAAAAACCAAACAAACCGAAGTATATAAAACATCATATTCTCTCTTAAATTCTACAGATCTTACATTTAAATAAAATATAAATCTGTAGTCCAGAACCCTATGACAGTTTTTTTCTTGATTCTGTAAGGCCTAAAGTGTGACTGTGTATTGCAGCTGTTATTCCTGTTAATGTTACCTACAAATGTGATTAATAAAGATTGCCATGCATCATTTTCTAACAGTGCTACAGGCAGTACTGTAAATCTTTTACTCCACAGACCTCTCAAACAAATGTTTGATAAAGGAGGAGAGGATGTTAAACATTAAATTGACTGTGCTGTACATCAAGGCGGACATTTACAGTAATTGCCATATTTGTAGTCAGCCCATGTCCACTTTGAAAGCCACAGTAGTAATTTTTCTTCTTCCAGAAAATACTTACAGTGTCAGGTAATTTCAGCTATGCTTACTATGAGTCCTGCTTGCCTTGTACAAAAGTGTGAGAGCAGTAAGATTCTTTCTTTCATTACTTTTGGAGATGTACTCCATGACAGGTTGATTCCTTCCTTTATAAACTGTAAATAAAACAATATGCTCAAAAGTAAACTAGGTTTTGAATATGATAAGGATCCTACAATATAGATCCTGTAATATACAAGAACTGCCAATATTCAGAAAGTAATGGGTAGGAAGGTGCTTTTTATCCTTAAATTCATCACGCATGTCTTAAATAAATTAACTTGATAAGCAAAAGAAGAGGTGTCTGTCCATTCCTAGCAACTGCCTTTGCCTCTGTTCATGCTGGGGCTGCAAATCAACAAAAGCAAGGGCAGGAGTGCCTGTTTTTCCTGTACTTGAAGACTACTTCCATAACAGCCATACACAGATGCCCAAATGTAGAAACTGACCCCACATCTCCCAGGTACCTTATTGCAACCGAGAAGAGGCTAGCTGTTGTGGAAATCACATATTTCTCAAAATTCATATATTAAGCAGCAATAGTTGTATCATGTTTTGTATTATTGTAGACAGTGTGTGCAAATCTTTTAAGATTAGGGCAATCAAAACAGATTATTTAGACACTTTTATAAGTTACATTGAAGTTTGGCTAAAACTAAAGCCATGAAATGCAGAAAATTCTTTTGACATTGACAGGCTTTTAATAGGAAGTCCTTGACATGCTCAGCATGATGGATGTAAAGAACTTAGGGGGTTTTGAAAAACCTACATATAATTGTGTCGCTCAAGTATTTTAAGCAAATTTAAAAGTCAGTATAGTTCTGTCCTTCAGATTAGAAAAAAAGGAGGGCAGGTTTTGGTAGCCTGGGCAAGCTGGATAGGATGTGAGATCTCAGAAATGTCAGGAAGAGCATAGGGAGAGGGCAAGTTTGCCTGTGCTGTATGATCAAGCTGGCAGCACGTCCTGTGGAGTATAATGAAAAATCCAGGCATCACTGTAGTCCAAGCGTGGCTTAGAATCACAGAATATCCTGAGCTGGAAGGGACCCACAAAGATCATCGAAGTCCAGCTGCTGGCCCTGCACAGGACCACCAAGAATCACATCATGTGCCTAAGAGCATTGTCCAAATGCTTCTTAAACTCTGGCGGGCTTTGTGCTGTGACCATTTCTATCTCCTTAGATTTGCTTCTCATGGGCATGCTGGGGGAAGAGGAGTGCATAGCTTCAAGCAATTTTTTTTTTACTCATATCTCTAAAACCCCTGTGCAGGAAGCTTTGTGGGAAAATGAATGGCCTGAGAGTTATCACACACATTTATAAACCAGTTACTGCTCATAATAATTCGTTTTTGTAATATGTTTCCATAGGGTTTGGGGCAGTCTTTGGAAAAGAACTATTGCAGTTCTGCTGTGTACTTGCCCAAAATCTGTTCCTTTTTATGAAGGTTTGTTGGGGCTTTTTTGTTGTTGTTATTTTTATTAAGCAATTTTTTGCTTGTACTGAAGCATGCGATCAATAATTGTCTTTCGTTACTCTTGTGTTGCAGCAGATCATGCTTTACACTGTGGATCCCTGACAGTATTTTACCTTATTGCAGGAGCACTCTGCCCAGGGTCCAACGATCCCTGTCTAGAGAAGCCGTGTCCAGGGGACATGCAGTGTGTGGGGTACGAAGCCAGCCGGAGACCGTTCATCTGCCAGTGCCCGCCAGGAAAGCTTGGCGAGTGTTCAGGTGCATGTCACAGCCATAAAGGGGGAGATACTTGGGCAATAAAGTGCTGCCATTCTCATTTTGTAGGCAGAGGTGGCAGTGAAGTTAACAGAAAATGCACTGCTGTACCCATCTAATCACGGGCATGTGGGGTGTGTGTTTATAAGCCCTATAAATCCTTGTCTTTATAGCTAAGGGGTTGTATGTAGACTGTGATCCAGTTTCTGTTTGGAAATTCCCACTGGCTTGCTTAAATACCAGCTCAGTAAAACATGCTGCTGAGAAAACAGGATTTTTCCTAGAGAATGTTGTGCCAGATGTTTTCCTGCCCATGGGCAAAGCTCTATAATTAACTCTTCTGCTTACTATTTAGATTACCAAAATTCCAGCCTTTATTAATGAAAACACTACACTATCCCAAAAAGAAAGTTTGAGGACATCTGCTAGTTCTCTGCATCTGTGTTCATATCCCTGGGATATGAAGAGCCAGGTGGACAGGCAGTGACGCAGGGCTTTCTGTTGACTTCAGTGAATCCCAGGCTGCAGGACAGAGGGTTTGTGCTGTTTGCCTGATAAAAGCACAGCAGATACTGAACTGTGGTCCTGGGCAGTGGTTGCAGGGGACTCATTGAAAGGGTTTGGCTGACATCTGCCCACAAGTAACTTTACACCTGTAACTCAACTGCCTGATGTACAGATGTGGTCATCTTTTGATTTCCTCCATTTTCAGTGAGGCAAGACTGGTGCCTCCAGGAGTATATAAGCTGAAAAATGGTGAATACTTGGAGCACCCTCTTTTTTTTATTATTATTTTTAAGTATGGAAAAATAGAACTTTCCTCGGTCCCCTGAAAAATAGCTTAAAAAAAGGAAATGCAGAAATGTTTTGTAGTAGATGCCAGTTTTGTTTTCTCTCATCAAAGAAAGGTTTTATTTATTTCTTCCTAGTCATTCTCATTAACTTTATAAATTCTTTAATTACTTAACAGTCGAGAAATTGTTTTATGTATCACTAAAAGCACATGTGTCTTTTCAAAATGGTTGTTTCAGGCCACACTTCCCTTAGCTTTGCTGGGAATAGCTACATTAAATACCGTGTTTCCGAAAATAGCAAGAAAGAGGAATTCAAGTTGGCTCTCCGACTGCGAACCCTGCAAAGCAATGGGATTATAATGTACACCAGAGCGAATCCCTGTATAATTCTGAAGGTAATTAAAATAACTTATCTTTTCTGCAGTTGTTTTTCTCGATTCTGTATTTTCTCTTGGCTCTTGATTTGGGGAATGCTGTTCTCATTTCACTGTAGATTGAGAAGATGAAGTCTGTTCTAACAGGGAAAAACAATTTCAACAACAGCAGCAGCAACAAGGATCAGAAAAGCAGCTTGTTAGTGGTACTTTACTTGGAAAATTCCCCACTGGGTGCTGTTTATTATAAGCACATTGTGTGTGTCTGTGTGCAGGAGCCAGTCTGCACGAGATGTAAGATTTGGCCATTTATGTGACTATGTAGTCAAAACGAAGCCTGCTGAAATTGCTGTTCTTCCCTTCTGTCCTGTCTGTGGTTAGAGGATATGCCCTCGCTGTTAGTGAGCTAATTACAGAACCGACTGCTTAGAACGTGTCTGCTACTGAATATGAAGATCTCTGCACTCTATGGATTAAGGTTCTTTGTTGAGAGAGTCATGGGGTCAATGGAGATTGATACCAAATCAATATTAATTGATAAGTTTCCCATGCGTTTTTATTATTTTTTTTTTAATTTTTTTTTTCTTTTTTTTTATTTTTGTTTCTGTGGAATGGCAAATAACTGCTGGATGGAAAGGGACTACTACTAGGTTCATCCAGGAGCCTGCACATATAGTATTTCTGCTATAGCCTCTAAGGTACCAAATGAAAATATTGACATTTGTAATTCAGCCACATTCTATAATTCAGCAGTGGAAGAAATGGCACTGAGCCTTTTGTGTCTGCATTTGCAATCTTTAGGGTACTTTTGGCTGAATGCTACATAATGTTAAAGTGGCTAGATGAGTTCTTAATGGGCAACAAATAATTTTATAGCTGTTAGACTGAAGTATTTCATGAGCAAGAGTACTTGTTCTGTCATTCACCAGGAGCTGTCAGCATTGTTCAGATTTCCACAAGACAGCCTCTATTTTGAGACACATAAATGCAGTTGGAACTTTCAAGCATGTGTTTTTGTTAAAAAAAAAAAAAGCAAAACTGCAGGTTGGAAGACTTTCTTTGAAGTCCTCATCATGCTTGCTCTTAGCATCTGTCAGTAGGTAATGTTTATAGTTTGGTAATTTAAAAAAACAAATGGCCCTGGTGGAAGGTGCCACTTGAAAACAATAGGAGATGATACAGACATGGCCTGAATTGGAGTTAGATTGGTGATAGGAGAATTCATTTTGCTAGAGTTTTGTATATAAAGCTCTCATCATTAAGGAGCACAGCATATCCAGGTCATAGACAACCGAGTGAAGATATCCAGCTGAAGCTGGGAAATTTTGCCACCAAAATAGAAAAGTTGATGCTACTACTATTGCTTAAAAAAAAAAAAAAAAAAGCCCCCAAAAAACCCCACCCCTCCAAACCTGTAAGAGAACTACCCTTTACAATCACCTGAATTGAGTATTTAGTTGTCAGGTTGGAATCATGTTTTCAGTCCCCACTTCACATAATCACCTAATTATTTTGCTTTGAAGGACGCTGAGTTAAAAATAATACTTCAAGGAGCAGCGACAAGAGCTGTGGTTATTGTGCCCCAGTCTCAGTCAGCAACCTCCATGTTAAGCTGGTTTGCTCCCTAAGTCTAAGAAACAAAGAAAGAGAAAGTATAGAGCTTCGTATGCAGCAGCTGCGTCACGTATCTGATGAGTGAGGCCCATGGTCATGTATGGATGCGAAGCCTCTGCTTTGTCCTGTGCATTGATCAGGGGAGGACATTGGGAATTACCTTCTCAGAGCCTCATGTTTAGCTTTCCAGAAGGGCAGGATTTGCTGTTGCAGTGAATCCTTTTCCCAGATCTGGCACTGGGCTTCTGCATGCATGGCGTTTAAAGGAAACAAAATCATTACATTCAGCATAGTTTTTTTTTTAAGAAATAGTGTCGCTTAAAAGATCAGGAATTGTCAGAATTTAGTTTATGAAGGTCTTTTAACCAAGGAATATCAGGCTAAGTTCTCAAAAAATGTTCTCTGTGGCAGACAAATGGCATCATGCTCAAGGGATTCAGCCCTGTCAGGTCTGTTCAGGGATGGCAGCTGGCTCATGGACTGCACTTTGGGGATCCCTGACTCAGGTGTTTTCAAGGAAGTTATGCTTAGACTTTCTAAACATATTTTTCTCATTTATAAACCAGAGGTACGGCTTCCTTTAACCAGGTACATATGTTGGGAGGTAGGGAGGCACTCAGAAATGAGGCCATTAAGCAGATTAATTAGAGGTCTGTAAATGTGAAGTTGTTATCATTTGAGCATTGCTTTCAATTAAATTAAACATGAGGAGAAGCTTTCCAAATAGAGGATAAAGGTTGAAATCCTGTGTTCTTTTGAGCACTCTGGCATCACTCCAGCAAAGCATTTAATCACTTGCTTAACTTCCTGTATTTGAAACCAATTGGAACTATTTATATACCTTAATTTTAAGCATCTATTTAAGTATCTGCTGGATTAGCACCAGAGGGCTCAGCACCATCACTGAGTTTCAGATAAAGGCAGAGGTGGAAGCCACAAGGTATGAGCCCATGGGAGACAGGCAGAAACACCTGTGCTGTTGGGCACAGAGTGGCATTGATTGTTTTGAAGCAAGTCTCTGCCATTGCAGTCTGTTTAAAAATTAATGCTGCAATATGCTTTTTGGTGTTCAAATGAAGAGCTTAATTTTGGAAGCTCATACATTTGTGATAACTCCAGGGATGGAAATATTTCATAATCTTAAGACAGTGTCCTTCTTGGATAAGTAATCAATTCCATAGAGCAAACTGCTTGTCTACTACTTTGCTGAAAGCCTACCAGCTAGACTCTATTGATATAATAAAATAAGGGTGTTATTTATTCAGCTGTTTCAAATAAAGCAACTCATCCATTGATTTTTGAGAGGTTGGCTTTTTGTTGTTGTTGTTGTTCTGGCATGCCCTTTCTTTTAAGACAATTGGAGCAAAATGAGATGCAGATCAATGCTGGCTTTTTATTCCTTTGGAAAGATTGCATGTCCCAAAACCAGTACCACCATTTCCTTTTTACCTATGTAGCAGCTAACTCAGAAAAGTAAGATTTAACCATCTACAGCATTACAAAGCCATTGCAGAAGAGAATTCCTTTTTTTTTCCCTCAAGGAATAGAATGGAAATTCATCTTATTTTGTGAAATTTTAAGGATTAAAAATAGGTAAAGAAAGACTTTCCCATCATGCCATAAATATAGCTAAACAGTAAATGGCAAGCATATGTCCTTCTGTCCAGGCAGTTAATGTGAAACTTTGTGTGGCTTAGTTAAGTGTGTATTACACATTTTAATGCATTGCTGCTGCGTGGCTTATGCTGGATAGGACTGAAGTTTGGATATGATCCCAGTTATGGCTGGAGTTGAAACAAGTAATGTTTTAATTAAATACACCGTTTTACACAAACGAACCTGAAATGCAATTCGGCTAACGAAATATTTCCCCAGATAGATTAGGAGGCAGCATGCTGTATCCATGGTGTTTGACTGCAGATGGACTGTGTGAGCTGGAGGTGGTCTCAGAAGAACCATTTGATCATTTTATTACCTATGTTGATACACAAATATGGATGTTAGCCAAACATCTTAGCTAGACTAATATTCTAATATAATTTACAGTATGTGGTTGGCTCCATTCTGCCCACTGAATGAAATCATTGAAATGTAACAGATTGCATCGGGTTTTGGAGTCTTCACCTGTTCTTTTAACTTCTCTACAGGTGAGGAATCTTGTGGCATATGTGCTTAAGTGTACATTAACTTCCCTGTCATAGTTGTTATAACTGAGACTGTAACTAAACCCTGAGCCTAGGAAGATCTGGGAAGTGGAAGCTTTGTGGGAATTTTCTGCCCAGCTAGGATGAAGCAGTATCTCTCTGCTTTCATGGTGCAGAGGGTCTCTGCTGGTGCCATGGGCTGTTCTGGTGAGGGGTTGCAAAGTTTGCATGTCTCTGCTGTGAGATGGAGTAACTCATGCTTTCTGCAGTGTTGCACTACATAGATGGATGAAAAAAGCAACACCACATATTCAGGGCTGGACTGACAGACAGTCTGATTCTACCAGCTCTCAACCAGACCAACCATGCCACTGAGGTTATTGTCTGGATAACTGCTGAAAACCTGGACAAGAGCCTGGGTATTCACTGGATGCCCACCCATATTTTTTGCTTGGATGTCCCTCAGTTAGCATGAAGTTCAGTTTTTCTTGGTACCAGGTCCAGGCTATAATCAACCCCCTCTGAGGACTGAGCAGTGACCCTGACATCTCAGTGGTTACAAGGAATCACAGGAACACCAGGGATTAATTGCTGAGTGATGGTTGAATTCTCTATGCTTTGGAGTGGGGACGGCAGTTTTATCTGTTAGGTGGAAAAACCTTCTTCTCCTTGCCTGGCCAGTCCAGCTGCTAAGTACTCAAGAGTGGAGCCCTTTGCAGCATCTGCTCCTTGCCGGTTCTTCCTGTTCTCCATACTCCTCCTCAAGGTCCATCACGGGACAAATACTTCCTCCCAGCCCCTCTACAGCAAGGCCCATGACCATCTGATTAATGAAAGTGCTTTTATGGTCCCATTGCTAGGGGTATCTGGGCATGTCACACAGTCTGTAATGTATGTATCTGTAAAGCAGTGGTGTGAGGTAGGGAAATGACGTTACCCCTCTTTTCATGATGGATACCTGAAACTAATGGCTTGCTTGAGATCTCAGAGGAAGAATGTTGCAGAGTGTGGATTCCCATGCAGATCTGTCATGTCTTAGGCTAGTACTGTAAGCATCAGACCATCCTTTCCATCTTTCCCTCTAGTTAGAGGTTACTCGTGTTTCTTCAATAACAGGAAGGAAACTTAAACCCTTCAGACAATATATATTTACTGTGCCTGTCAGATCATCTGCTGGTAAAGAGAAATAAAGGTGGATGAGAAACATGTAGAAAACATATTTTAATGGCAAATCTTTTAGATCATAGTTTCCTGTATACAAATGGTGTAATATTTATCCCAGGTGCTCAAAGGTGGTGTTGTATTTATAAAGATAATTGGAAAAACATGTTCTGTGAGTAAGAGTAATAGACATGCAGGCAGTATGTCCTTCGGGGCATAAGTAGTCATAGGGGAGGTATATGTATATTATACACAATCAGTAGAAGAGTTTCCATAGGAAAAAGCCTTTTAAGTAAGCAGCAAGTTATCTACTTATCCAGTGATGGCTGTTTTTCAAAGTGTAATATGTTGGCATGCATTTTTCTGTTTGATTTGTATTCCTGGTGAGACAGACCATACTTTCTGAGCATCACCTTCAATGTTTATGGACTGTTTTGTTGCACAGGGAGGAAAGAAACTACTGCTCCATCTCTGGAGAGAAAAAATTCTGTTTATCAGGGCATCTTGTTTACCAAGATTCCTCCTGAGAATATGCTTTAACAGACCCAATTTCAATCTACAGAAACTGTTTACAGAGCTTTGAGTCCTTTAAGAAAATGTTTTTTAATTAAAAGTGATCCAGACTCATTATTCTTTACATCCATTAGCCTTATTTCATTGATCTGTAGGAGTATCAAGCAACATCCATCCCTTAAGCATGTATTACAGTCATAGATCTGATTCCTTCTCAGTTTCATTACATCCTACAGACCAGGGACTGCAAAACAGCCTCTTGTTCATAGCAGGGGCTAATTCTAGCTTCTTCCCTTGGCTCTTTCTGTGTGTGTATTCATTCCTGTGCACCCCCTCATACCATGCAGAGTAAGTGGGCAGCTGGCATCTATAGGGAGCTTGCCCCATGCTTAGCACCTCTGTGTCCATGCTGCCGAGCAATCACTGAGCAGAGGACTGCTGTGTGTTATCCCCTGATTGCCCAGTGTGTTTTGGCTTGAGGTCCAGTTCAGAGTCAGCCAGTCAAGAAACCAAGGATTTGTAAATGAGAAGAAAATCCAGAGAAATCCACATACATACAGATCTCAAGATTTTGCTTTTAGCTTTTCTCCTGGTAGTTTGTCAACCTCCAAGGACATAAAATGCTGATAATGGCAGACAACACGGTCTGCTCCTGTACATTAACACTTTCCTGTTTAACTTCAAGCCACATCAGGGAACCTGTCTGATAAGAGTTTGAGTACACAGTCACATGCCAAGGGATGTCTTCATCTAACATGACTGTTTATGCTAGAAATGGCCAAAAATGGCCAAAGGCAGATGGACACACTGCAGCATCCTCACATCTGCATTTTCCATTCCAGTTCAGCAGGCCACCAAAGCTCTGTGGGGTTCTTGCACTGACAACTGTTGAAACTCTGCTCTCACTGGGAGGAGCAGTCAGTCTCTGTAACAGATGCACCAGTGAGAGGACAATGTGAGCTGCCTGGAAGGATGAAAAATGACAGCACCTGAACTTTTCAGGGGGATAAATAATGGGACAGAACTGTCTTGAAATGGGGTTTGCAGAAATAAATACTTCCTAGAGCATGACATAAAGGTAAAATACTTGGAAGGGCTTTCAGAGAACTTGAATCCAATTAATGTGTCATAAGAAATTATTTCAAGCCTTGTCAGCCATTTTAAACTTCTATGCCATCTGTTAGAGAAACCTAAAATCTTGGGGTAAACAGCTAATCAGGAAAGCAGCACTTCATACCATTCCCTCACTCTGCACTTTGCCTGCCCTGGCAGGGTAGCACAGATTTTCTCTTTATGAGGACTTGAGAGAGGAGGGAGAGTGAGAAATTCCCTACAAACTCTCTAAATCCATGAGTCCAGCATAAATATTAAGAAAGAAAGAAAGAAAAGGAAGACCCATCTTACATCATCTGTGAGGTATACACAGAGCAGGTTGTGTTGCATCTTTGGGAAATAACTGACTTTTGGTCAACTAGTATCTTACTGTTGTAATTAGTGATAATAAACTTAGGATGTTTAAAGGAAAATCCGCACCTCATTGAGATGCTCCTTAAAGTTACAGAAGCACAGGATGTCTGCATGAGCAGAGTACCTAACATCAGCAGCTGAAAGTGGGGCCATTGGCTTTGCCTCAAACCTCTCAAACTAAGAGGTGATCCTGTGCCTTTACTGTCCTTTTGATAACATCAGCCACTGGGAGGAGAATCACAGCTCTCAGACTTGCTGAGAGAGACACAGCTGTTCAACAGCAGAGCCAAGAGCAGAACAAGGGTTCTCAAGTCCATATCCTGTTCAGTACAACATATAATTATCCTGGTTTTCATCTGTGTTCTGCGCCCATATGATTTTCTGTATTTTTAGTTTTCCTGCAGTAATTGGCATCGGGCAAACTCAAAGTAAGCTGATATTTTCCACCATTTTATTTTTTTTGCCTATAATAAAGGCACAGCTTTTTGCTGTTTTAGTGTCATGTAGGAGAGCAGCTTTAACAGCGTGCAGAGACTGTCTAGAAGTTCTCTGTGCTTCCAGATTCTCTGTGAGAGCGTATTACAAGACAGCTGAGCGCCTGAAGCGGTTTGATTTCTGTTTTCCTCCTGCAGATCGTCGATGGCAAACTCTGGTTCCAGTTGGATTGTGGAAGTGGCCCAGGAATCCTAGGAATTTCTGGAAGGGCTGTTAATGATGGAAGCTGGCATTCGGTCTTCCTGGAGCTGAACCGCAATTTCACCAGCTTGTCCCTGGACGACAGCTACGTGGAGCGCCGCAAAGCCCCCCTCTACTTCCAGACACTCAGCACAGATAGCTCCGTCTACTTCGGCGCCCAGGTCCAAGTGGATAACGTCCGCAGCCTGACTGACAAGAGGACAACGCAGGTCCTGAGTGGCTTCCAGGGCTGCCTGGACTCAGTAGTCCTAAATAACAACGAGCTGCCCCTCCAGAACAAGCGCAGCAGCTTCGCAGAAGTGGTTGGCCTGACAGAATTGAAGCTCGGCTGCGTTCTTTATCCCGATGCCTGTGAGAGACACCCCTGCCAGAACGGCGGCACCTGTACTGCCGTGCCATCTGGTGGTAAATGTTTTCATTACTTTATGGGCTTCCCCCTCCCCGTTTTCCTCTGTAATTTATTGCCAGAGATGGTTTTATGCAGCAACATGCTTGAAAAATCTCATGAACTCTATAAAACTCTGATAGGTATTGCAAATTGGGTAAAAGCTGTTTGCTCTATAAATAACAGTGAAATGGTGCCCCTTCTTATTGCATTAGTGTTCCAGGAGGAAATTGATTTATTGGCTGTTAGTATAATCCTATTTCTGTAGAAACCAATAGAATTACAATTACTGTAATGTTCAGCTGGATTTTTCAGAATCCATTTACAGCATCCTTACAGCATTGAGGGCTGTACACAAAGATGGTGATTTGAAATGTCCATCACAGATGTAACAGCAGTGTTGCCTTACTCTGTTTCCGAAGCTGTCACAAATAATTACTAAGCTGTCTGCAAACACCTTCGTCCTTTTGGAAGTGAGTAATTTCATTGCATGTCTGCATGGAAAATAGCAAGTTGGGCCCATTATAAACCCCCCTGAACTGTATTTTACAGCTTTCTTAGAGTGCTCTAAGGTCTAAGTAATATTATCCAAATTTTGTAGGGCATTGATTTAGACTGTGCTTGTGTTGGAGTTTCCTATCCAGTGGTTTTGTGGTGGTTTGTCATTTGATACCAGTGACTTACTGCAGTGCACAAGTTACCAGAACAGTCAGCATGTTAGCAGGAGAAACGCAAATTGCACACATGTAAAGCATTGCTTCTCAGGCAGTTCTCTTTCTGCAGTGTAGGAGTTTCCCTTCCAATTCCCCACACAGTATTAGCATGCAGCATTGCACACCTTTTCTGGCAGAATAAAATTTCCTCTGAAAAGGAGGTTGCTCGACAGAGAGGTTTTCTGCAAGTTCAGAGCTTTCCATTCACTTACTGTCAGTGAGTTTTGATCATGGCTCTCTAGGGAAGTTCCCACCTAAACTCTTATTTTGTGGAGCATTTCACCACTGTCCCAGGGCTTTCTGCTTTAGTGTGTCCATGCAATTCCCTTGCACCCGTAGTTATTATTTCTGTTTTTCATTAGTTTAAGCCTGACTCTCTTATTACCTTTCTGAGTCCCCTCCACCACACAGAGTTTTTAGGCCTAAACTTCAGATCAGTTCAAGACCGACATGTGGTGAGATTTGAGCAAAACTGTGATAAGTTTCTCAGTTGGATAGCCCCCACTCCTATAAAGTAAGTCCTGAAAATGTGGATTTGTCCATGCTGGGCTGTCTCAGCTAGCATCCCCTCTGGATCTTTGGCTTTGATTCAGCCACCTCTTCTCCCATGCCATCAAAATGATGCATCAGTGATGCTGTCAGCTTTGCTGTTGATGGAAAGGAATGGGAGGACAGTTAGAAAGAATGAAGCACAGCCCTGGCAATCCAGGATGTGTGGTGGGACATGAGCAGAAATATTGCTGCGGGTGTGTTTGTCCTTAAGGGTCTTTATTTACCAAGGGAAGGAGAGAAAAGGAGGGCTGCACAACAAGGGCAAAAGAAAATAATTCTGAAAGATAAGGTTGCTGCAGTCATTGGAAGAATTGCTAAGCAAGATTATTGAAATTCCTAGGAAATATGGATGTAGTACGTATGGGAACTTATGTATAATGGCGTTGATTCAGTGTTCTTACTTAATAAATGAGATTAACCATTCGCCTCACATCCTAGGAAGCATGAGAACAGTTCCTCCTATTGATTTTATTTGAGTCTATTTACAGTATTGCTCAGCAATCTTATGATGAGTAAATTGAAACCTTTCTAACAGAACTCCTTACAGTCATTCTTTTTTTCCCACCACCATGTGCATGCCAATTCAAACGAGGGGAGACACAGGGTAAGGGAGAAACAAGCAGGCCTGAAGTCTGGACCCATCTTATTACTGGAATGGCAAATACCATTTTCACATCAACAAAATTCGCTGCTGGAAAGCAGTCACAGAACTGATTTAACTTGCCTGTGTTCCTGCCTCGGCGAGGGGCATGTACCCTGCAGGGATGTTTTGGCTGCCTGCCGTCAAAAAATCTGTTTGCTGTTTTTACTGTCTCAGCAGTGTGTGTAAATAGAGGATTGTTGTAAAGCCATAATTCCAGTGCAATGGGCCCTGACTTTATGTCGGTGGTTCTACAGCCCAGCCCTTAAGGAGAAGGCATGAGCATTTTTGCTTCCACTAGGCAAAGCAATTCTGTTGTTAGTGTCCTCCATATGCTGAAAGACCACATAATTAAATTCTAAGAGCACAAGAGTCCAACAGCATTGCAAGTCCTAGTTGCAGAGCCACAAATTACAATGTGCTTTTAAGAACCGTCAACCATTGCACTTGCTGACATAGATGTTAGCAGCTGACTTCCATTTAAAATAGGAAAAAAAACCTAATTTTTTAAAGAATTTTCTTAAGAAAGAGAGTAGTGGCTTTTTTTCTTTTTTGGTGAGGGGAAGAATGCAAAACTATACCATGCAAAGGTCCTTTACCCAATCACAGTACCATCAGGCATTCAGTACCATCAGGATCTCTTGACTAATATTTTCTATGATATTATCCTCCTTTTTCAATTTTTGGAAAATAATGTTCCTTTTCCTAAACAGAGAGTATTTGGCATAAGATTTTTTTAAATAAATAAACACTCTAGTTCAAATTTTACAAAGCAGATTTCATATACTGTTAGCATCCTTTTAGTTATGGACAATGTACTGTGCTTTACAAGAAAATTAGGAGAGAGAAAAAGAAAGCTGAGATTTATAGCTAACTTAAGAAGAAAACAGTTAAGCAAAGGTTACCCAACATTATAACATGTAAGAGTTGCTGGCTACATACTAGAAGTCAAAGAGGCCATGAGTAATTTACATATAATTTGCATAAATTGAACACCTATGGTACAAACCTCTATAACAGTGTTCCTGTTATAGAGAATCTAAGATTCTCTATTCTGTCTCTTTTCCTGAGATCTTCATTTCAGTAGAAATGCCTACTGCCCTGTTCTCTGTTAATAAAAAGCCGCCTCAATTGCCTCTCACTTCATCCTGTGGTTATGGGAATAGGGTGATACCATGGCTCTGTTTGGGGAAGTGCTCTGTATGCACTAGGAGTGTGTCCATGCTGCTGCTGTTAGGGTTTGGACGGATACATTCCCAGCAGCTTCACAGCACCTGGCACAGGGCAGGGCTGTGCCTGGGCTGCACAGAGCTCAGGACTGACCACAGAGGTGTTGCCCAAAGCAGGGCTGGCACAGGGCTAACCTGACCCACAGTGGCTCTTTCTGCCTGACCTCTCTGCATATGGAGCAGAGCAGAATAGGATCTCAGCCTGTGTGAGAGAGCGCTGATAGCTCAGGTGGGAACTCCAAGAGTACAGAAAAGCCTCTCTTCTTTCAAACCCAGGTTTCTGAGCCAGCAGAAAGCAACCATGACATGAATCTCTGCTTGCTCTCAGGCAACAGTGTTGGCCAAGTGATGTCAGTGGTACAGGAGGGGGGACTGTGCGTGCAGAGACCACATAGGGAGATCCAGTGCATGCTTAAATAGGGGTTGGCCGAGGGGGATGAGCACTCACTGGATCTGACAGCTCAAGAGACTCATAGCAGAAAGAGACATAGTCAAGTCTTAGGACAATTTTCTTGGGAGACAGTGGAAACCACAGCCCTGATGTATAGGCCACATTCTTCCAGTCCCTATCCATAAGTATGGGTCAGTATATCTATTTTTAAAGAAAGCTAGCATTTTGAAACCTGACAAACAGCATGACTTTCAGAAACAGCTTGGCTCTTTGAACTGAAATTTCCCAAGAAAATTCAACCAAGAGTTTAAAGTGTGGTTAAGATACAAGCTGCTGAATATGAGGTCTTAAACTGGGAAATGTCACACAACCTTAATAATAGTGTGTCACTTGCAGGGCTGCCAATAGTAAATGTATGTTTATCTGCATGAGTAACAGTATGAACAATCTCAGCAATAGAAAGCTTTACTGTAATCGCATGCAAAGACTGCACCAAGGTTTTCAACCACAGAGAGAAACCTCATGCTTGTAAAGCCTGCAATTATAAGTATCGTTACTTCCTTTTAATTTGATCAGTCCTATATACATCTGGCTTTGATTAAAGTAAATGGCTTATATGAGTAGGCGATTTTATTTGAACATGAAGCATTTGAGCGGAAATATTTCCTGAGTCAAGGACTGTGGGCAGAGTTTGGGGACATAAAGTCATTTTGCTTTCTCTACTCTTCACTTTTCTTCTAGTATTTTTTTTTTCCCATGAACAGAGCTAAAATCCAAAGGGAGGAGAAAATGTAACATGGCACTTGGGTCGTGGGTTTAATACATGCTTTAAATGCTGTTGGCAACATTACTCATGGCTGGTTTTGAGGATCAGGTAGTTCATAAAAAAGAAATAAGGAAAAAATTAGTGTAATAATACCACAGAACTGACCTGGTCTTACTAATGTTCTTCATCTTGCTTTTTCACACACACAAATAACCCAGCATACGGTGATATGAGTATACCAAATGTACATCAATTCTTTTTTAGAAATTTTGGGGGTGTTTAATATTTTTAATAGCTGATTATAGTTTTCTGTTCTTGAGTTCCCACTTTAAAAGCACACCAGTCCTCTCATAGAAAGCATTAGTTCAGCAAAGACTGAGGTTCATTTTCATACCAACAGGTGGCAGGAGGCAATGATCTGTTTGAAGACAGGTAAGTTCAATCTGGAGTGGCAGGACTGTGTATGGCTGAAGAGCAGACACTACTTGAAGGTGGCCTGGTTTGACTATAGAACTACCAAAATACAAATGCTGGGAGAGTTCCTCTTCACCTTCAGTAGTTCTCATCAGTTAACTTGGTGTGTAACACCGTGTGGTCAATGCTAAGGGCAGGGCAATTTCTGGACATCGAGTTTGTCAGGTCTAGCTGCACAGCAGGGAAAGAAACTACACAGAGAGACAAATGGAAAAGCCAAAGCATGTTAACAGATAAAAGCCAGCCTGTCTTGCATGGAATAGATAGAAACAGGAGCATACACATGTTAAAAAAAAAATAAAAAAGTTGGCAGCAGTTTGGAGCATTCTCTTTAATAAAGCCAAGTAAACCTTGGGATAGACAGACATTCAGATGCTCAGGCTGGGAATGCTACCAGCAGAGATGTCCGCTACATAACGACACCCCATCTGCCGATGGCACCATGCCTGCCTTGTGCCACTGCCTCTGCTTCTCAAGTGCCAAGCAAACACAGGTATAGGCAGGGAGCCTGTGTAGTGTCCAGTCTCACTGCATGTTGCTCTTCAGTAAGGTCTGGGATGAAAAACACCTTTTCCTCTGAATAGGGACATGCCAAGAGAGCAGTAAGAGCAGCTGTTTGGGTCGCAGCAAGAAGGTGAGATTTAACTATGGAGAGGGGACTCAGACTGATGAAGGAGCATGAGAGAAGCCTTATAAAACAACCAGTAAGCCCAAGACAGTGTGTAGACATATGTCTGCATAATGTTTCAGGTCATGAATGATATTTGATGTGAATCTTCTGATCATCATCTCTCCCTGGGCTTCACTTCCCACTGTGGAGACGCAAGGTCTCGGAGGGCAGGACCAGGCTGAACTGGAAGACTGTTGGGCTCCACAGACCCATTGCTGCTGCTCTGCAGGCCTTGTTAATGTAGATACAGCCTAAAAAAGCTGTATTGTTGTTCATAGCTTGTTGTTGCTCTTAGGTCAGCTGTTGGTACATGCTGCTATGGCACATGCTGAGAATTTTGTGGTCCCACCTTAGAAACTTTTCAGAGGTGTTTTCCAGAGCTTCCTGTCTTTTTCCACTGACTCCCTCTGAAGAAATACTGTGGTGACATCACAAAATTTGCTGCCTTGGAGAATACAGATCAACATTTCTAGGAATTAAATATTCATTCCTTGTGGAAGAAGCTTAGATGGGCTTAAATGCTGATAAATTTCCAAAACTTCAGTGTTTTCATTGTGAACAGGATCAAGCCCTACATTGTTTAAAAGAGATTTTTCATCCCTTGATGAGAAGACAGGACACTGAGCCTTTTCTCATCCTTGAGTGTGAGAAGTTTGCTTGTTATTTTTGTTCAAAACCAGAGGGGAAAAAATGAATGGTACATTAGCAGAATATTAAATTAAAAGTATAATAAAAGTCCTTTATTAGACCCAAGCTGCACTCCCAACCAGAGGGGTTTTCTTCACAATTTGCCTTTGTCCACAGCCATGTGGCTAAAATATGCAGTAGCCAGCAAAATTACAGCCTCTGCTGGGAGGTTTGGAGAAGGATTAAAGGTCTGGCAGGTCTTCTGGCTGAGTGCTATATGCTGTCTATTGAGCCATCATATCAGCTCTTCTCTTCCCTACTCCATGAATTTTGACATACGCTTTGCTGTGTTGGAGACCTCCCGGGTGAATGCTCTGCAGCTCTGAGCGTGTGTGTCGCGGAAAAGTTCTGTGTCTTTTGCCAGTGGATTGGACTTGGCAGGTGTATGGCAGTGAATCCAACGAGAGGAAACACCAGTGATTAATATGGTAATTTAATACTGTCTTGTTTTAGTGCCTTCTTGACTTCTAACTTTGATCCTTGGGCTTAGAATCTATAGTGAATACTGTAGTCTTCTAATATCTGATGTGTGTTCCACCATCATTAAATCAAATTTTGAGAAAAATGTAGGCTTTCAGAAGCAGATCTTTATTTTGGTCCTGTTCATACACTGCTGAACAGGGCTCTGACCCATCTGGCACATTCAGTTTCATCTCTTCTTAGTATAAAATGCATAAGTCCATGTTTCTTTTATATAGTTGGTGGCAAAAATATTTTTTAAAAAAAATCAGTACTTCTCAAGTTTTCTGTAATGAACAAATGTAAACAGAGTATGTTACAGAATTTAGAACTTAGCTGAAACAAACAAAAGACATGAAAAGAAAGTGATTCAAAGCCTTTTCTAACAAAGGATTGGCACATGAGAACTTGGTTAAAAAACAACAAACTTGGATTTTAACATCACTTTAGGGTTATGGAGGTTTATAAAATAGCAGATAACAAATATAATAACACGTATATTCTGTTGTTACATAAGGCAACAGAACTGATTATGAATAAAGTGGTTTCTGTTTGAATTGAACATTCTCCTTTTGCTTAAGCTTATTGAGACTGTAAAAAACATATAAAACATTAGTGTAAATTTTTGAACTATAGATGTCACTGTTCAGTCATAAAAAGGAAGCACTGAAACAGCCTTATTTATTCATGCTGTGAATTCTACCTACAGTCACAGGTTTGTAATTCTTCAGACCCAGATCACTATAGGTCCAGAAAGCTGTTCACGTTGTCTGAGTGAGATATTTTTAAGCCACAAAAAGAAATAAGCCCATCTTGCTGATGCTTACTAAACATGCTTTTTGGGAAGCCCAGAAGTTGAATAATTTATCTTCTTAACTCTGTAACCTTGGAAAGATCAGTGTGTCTCTCTCCCTTTTTGCAGCAGGACAATGAAACAGCATGATATTTGAGTTTCTATTTCATTTATCTTCAGTTAAATAGTATTGGACTCTTGACTGAGTATGCCAGCAAGCCTAGTTCCAAGTTTATTCTCGAAAGCCTGTCCTCATGAAAGAATTCAATTAGAGTAACTAAACAAGGCAAATTGAACCGTATAGAACATAAAAGATGATGCAGAATTGCTTTTTCCTTATTCCTCCACTGGGTTTTCCATATTGTTTCCATGAAATTCTTCTCCTTGTAACTTGCTGGAAATTCCTGCCGTATATTCAGAAAGAGTAACTTTTAAAACAAGTATTTGGGGTTTTTTTTCCAGATATATAGATATAGAAAGTTTTTAAAAATACATTTAAAAGGCTCACCACTGAGAGATGATATTTCCACTACATCAGCTTGATTGCCAATAATTTTGATACTGAATTGAGTTGCACTCAACCATTTCAGCTCTAACTGCAGCTGTATTAATGGCAGGAAGGTTCCTTGTTTTAGTTGCTTAATATGATGTGTTCAGTAGGTATGTGAACCCCATAACTGGAGCTTGAACCTTGCCTACACATATGTTTAGGATATTTGGATTATATAAGGAACTTTTTAAAAGATCAGCCAAAGTTTTTTTACAGATGTCCAGGAAAATTTTGCTGGTTCAACAAATGTAACTTAGGAGTCTTCTGCTTCCAGGGACTGTCTTAGCCATCTCATGGCTTTCACAGCCTACGTGTTCCATGCTCTTTTCAAGTAAAAAAGCAGTCAGATTTCCATGTCCAGTTCACAACTTTAAGAGATGCACTGCCTCACTGGATTTCTTTGTGACCTTAAATAAAGTTTTATTAATGGCACTGTGCCATATGAACTCACAAGGAGAGAAAAAGAAAAAATATATTTATCATTTGATACTTGGCAGGGTGAACTGATGTGTTTAAAACCTTTTTTTTTTTTTTTTTCATTTTGATGTTGCCCCTGTGTTGGCAAAAAACATATAAATGGGACTTCAATCCCCAGCAGAGTCCCCCCGCCACATGAATATTGTTGTGTCTGATGAATTGCACTGAGTGATTAATCAGAATTTGATAGCACACATTGAACATAATCCGCTCTGATTAGGGCTGGTATTGCCCAGGTCAGCTGGTATTTTGAAGTTTATAGTTTCTGCCTTGATGGTGTGCTTTATAAAACGGGTGTTTCATTACTGTCACATCCCCATTGTGTTGTCCTTTTAAAGGGCAGAGATGGAAAAGCTCTCAGCTGATGCATTTGCTCATCAGTGAAGCCCCAAAAGGAGAGTCGACTGCCTCTATCAGCAAACATTTTGAAAAAGTTGGGAAATACATCCTTGGTAGAGGATATTTCTTGTTACCTTTCTTAAAAAGTGTTCACAAATGACATTTGTGTCATTTATTCTTAGCTGAGTCATGACAATTAGGATGGTCTGGGCTGCAGCCTCTGGTTGTAGACATGAGCTCTAATTGCCTGGTATCTCAGATAGACAAACTCTTGACAAGGACAGACCAGAATGAGTGTAAACATCCCCTTGCCCCCACAGTACAATGTATTTTTCTGCGTAAGGCAGCCAAATGGGTCCTCTTGCTTTTAGACCGATTCAGTGGTAGGAGTCTAATTTGCGTCTCTGTCCCTCACCTCCCCAGGGTACCATTGCAACTGCCTCTCCCAGTTTACAGGAAGGAATTGTGAGTCAGAGATCACAGCCTGCTTCCCAAATCCTTGCCGGAATGGAGGCTCATGTGATCCCATCGGCAATGCATTCATCTGCAACTGCAAAAGTGGCCTGACAGGAGTAACGTAAGTGTCCCTCCCCAGGTGGGCAATGGGAGCTTTTTGACTCAGTGATGGTGGGCTTTTTGCTCAGGCTTTTTGTACCCAAAAGCTATGATTCACCGCACAGAAAATAACCCCAGCCTTAGCATTTATTCCAAGTCTGAGCTAGTGACAGCTGAGAAATCCCTGAGACTTGGATGCTCAGAAATGGTTTTTTCTGAACTTACCCTCCTAAGCTGTTGATTCAGGATGTTATCTCAAGACAGTTTTGTCTGAGCTACACCTGTCTGAGTGCTGCCAGGTTTTTGAACAATGTCGTAAAACCTATGGAAGCTGCTGTGTAATCTTTGTTTTGAAAATGGATCAATTATTTAGTCACCTTAGCCCTGACATAAAAGACTAATTTATTGCAGTCATTTTCTTAAATCCCTGCCTTGATCATAAACTTGGTGTAGACACAGAAAATCCTGACCTGCCCATCAACGTGCTTTTCCCTCATCTGGTTTGTCTACTGTTTGTACTTTTTCCTCTGCATTTTGCTACCTCTTGTTCTTTCCAATTCTCCTCTCTCTTTATGGTTCCTGTTCTTTTTTTCCCCACCTCTAGTATTTGTTTATTTTATCTCCCGACCTAAACAATTTTACATAATCAGTATATCCTTCTCTTCTCTTCTCTTCTCTTCTCGTCTCTTCTCTTCTCTTCTCTTCTCGTCTCTTCTCTTCTCTTCTCTTCTCGTCTCTTCTCTTCTCTTCTCTTCTCGTCTCTTCTCTTCTCTTCTCTTCTCGTCTCTTCTCTTCTCTTCTCTTCTCGTCTCTTCTCTTCTCTTCTCTTCTCGTCTCTTCTCTTCTCTTCTCTTCTCGTCTCTTCTCTTCTCTTCTCTTCTCGTCTCTTCTCTTCTCTTCTCTTCTCGTCTCTTCTCTTCTCTTCTCTTCTCGTCTCTTCTCTTCTCTTCTCTTCTCGTCTCTTCTCTTCTCTTCTCTTCTCGTCTCTTCTCTTCTCTTCTCTTCTCGTCTCTTCTCTTCTCTTCTCTTCTCGTCTCTTCTCTTCTCTTCTCTTCTCGTCTCTTCTCTTCTCTTCTCTTCTCGTCTCTTCTCTTCTCTTCTCTTCTCGTCTCTTCTCTTCTCTTCTCTTCTCGTCTCTTCTCTTCTCTTCTCTTCTCGTCTCTTCTCTTCTCTTCTCTTCTCGTCTCTTCTCTTCTCTTCTCTTCTCGTCTCTTCTCTTCTCTTCTCTTCTCGTCTCTTCTCTTCTCTTCTCTTCTCGTCTCTTCTCTTCTCTTCTCTTCTCGTCTCTTCTCTTCTCTTCTCTTCTCGTCTCTTCTCTTCTCTTCTCTTCTCGTCTCTTCTCTTCTCTTCTCTTCTCGTCTCTTCTCTTCTCTTCTCTTCTCGTCTCTTCTCTTCTCTTCTCTTCTCGTCTCTTCTCTTCTCTTCTCTTCTCGTCTCTTCTCTTCTCTTCTCTTCTCGTCTCTTCTCTTCTCTTCTCTTCTCGTCTCTTCTCTTCTCTTCTCTTCTCGTCTCTTCTCTTCTCTTCTCTTCTCGTCTCTTCTCTTCTCTTCTCTTCTCGTCTCTTCTCTTCTCTTCTCTTCTCGTCTCTTCTCTTCTCTTCTCTTCTCGTCTCTTCTCTTCTCTTCTCTTCTCGTCTCTTCTCTTCTCTTCTCTTCTCGTCTCTTCTCTTCTCTTCTCTTCTCGTCTCTTCTCTTCTCTTCTCTTCTCGTCTCTTCTCTTCTCTTCTCTTCTCGTCTCTTCTCTTCTCTTCTCTTCTCGTCTCTTCTCTTCTCTTCTCTTCTCGTCTCTTCTCTTCTCTTCTCTTCTCGTCTCTTCTCTTCTCTTCTCTTCTCGTCTCTTCTCTTCTCTTCTCTTCTCGTCTCTTCTCTTCTCTTCTCTTCTCGTCTCTTCTCTTCTCTTCTCTTCTCGTCTCTTCTCTTCTCTTCTCTTCTCGTCTCTTCTCTTCTCTTCTCTTCTCGTCTCTTCTCTTCTCTTCTCTTCTCGTCTCTTCTCTTCTCTTCTCTTCTCGTCTCTTCTCTTCTCTTCTCTTCTCGTCTCTTCTCTTCTCTTCTCTTCTCGTCTCTTCTCTTCTCTTCTCTTCTCGTCTCTTCTCTTCTCTTCTCTTCTCGTCTCTTCTCTTCTCTTCTCTTCTCGTCTCTTCTCTTCTCTTCTCTTCTCGTCTCTTCTCTTCTCTTCTCTTCTCGTCTCTTCTCTTCTCTTCTCTTCTCGTCTCTTCTCTTCTCTTCTCTTCTCTCCTCTCCTCTCCTCTCCTCTCTCTTCAATAAATACTCTGATATTTTTACTATATTTTTTCTCAATTATCTTCTCCTTGAATCCCCCTCTAATATTTTTATTGAAACCTATGGGATAGTCCAAAAACAATATAAAAAAGCAGATTCTCTATTACATTCAGTGCGCCTCATTAGGGTCAAGGTGCCTTTTGCTATTAGATGCATTATCTCCTTCTTAATATCTATCAGATGCTTTAAACTCTTATTTCCTTCTTGATATTTCCATTTTATTGTCTTTAAAAAACCCATGGAATAGCTGCAGAAAAAATTAAATGCCATTAAGTAATATGATAATAATATGATCATTTGCAAAGTACCACAAGCTGTTAACTAATGGCACCACTTTGACAATATAAGGCATCATGCACAAGCTGGACTGCATCTTAGATGTTCTGAGATTCCAGACTCTCCTTTTCTTCTTTTAAGGTGTGAAGAAGACATCAACGAGTGTGAAAGAGAAGAATGTGAAAATGGTGGCTCCTGTGTCAACATCTTTGGTTCATTTCTGTGTAACTGCACCCCTGGCTACGTGGGTCAATACTGTGGTCTGCGTCCCGTAGTGGTTCCCAATATACAAGCTGGGCATTCCTACGTTGGCAAGGAGGAGCTGATAGGAATAGCCGTGGTGCTGTTTGTCATATTTGTGTTAATCGTTCTTTTCATCATTTTTCGCAAGAAAGTTTTCAGGAAGAACTATTCCCGCAACAACATCACGCTCGTACAGGATCCGGCTACTGCAGCCCTGCTCAACAAGAGCAATGGCATCCAATTCAAGAACATCAGGAACAGTGGAGACAGCAGAAATATCTACCAAGAGGTTGGGCCTCCACAGGTACCAGTGAGGCCAATGGCCTATACCCCGTGCTTCCAGAGTGACTCACGGAATAACCTGGACAAGATAGTGGATGGGCTTGGTGTGGAGCACCAGGAGATGACAACATTTCATCCAGAGTCCCCTCGAATATTGACAGCCAGGAGGGGGGTGGTGGTGTGCAGTGTAGCTCCAAACCTGCCTGCTGTGTCTCCCTGTCGCTCCGACTGTGACTCCATCAGGAAGAGCACATGGGATGCTGGGACAGAAAGTAAGTAGCACTGCGTGCCGTTCTCGTTCTTCCCTGCCTTCAGGGTGCAGCAAGTACAGTGGCACAGGTACTCTTAGTGCTCAAGCCTTATACATGTGAATTGTTACATCTCTCCAAGAAGTGATCTGGTTTAATTTTGAAAGGTTATAATTAAACCAGACATACAAGACCTCTCTCTCTTTCTATGCATGAAGTATGACTAAAAGCATTTATTTCACTTGTTCAGAAAGCATATAGGAGTAAGTGCTCTGAGCATTTTTCAGTGATACAATGCAATCATCTTTCTATTGGAAAAAAACAATTTGGGGCAGAATTTTCAAATATAAATTCTGTTAGGTTCAGGCTGTTTGTTTTCCAAGGGAGTTAAAAATACTTAAACCATCTGCAAGAAACAACCCTGTTTTGCATCAGGGAGAAATGAACTAATATTCCCTACTTTAAGTATCTGTGAAGTGAAGCAGAAAATCACGTGTGGCTTGATATATAGGATCACCTTTTCAGGCCATTGCATTCCCCTCTGCTTCCAGTATCTGCTTCCAGTGGAATTTCAATCCTCACGCTTACCCTATTTGTGCCATGATGGTTCCTCACCTAATAACACAGTGCTCCCTTCATTCCTGAACTGGAGATGCGGGAAACTTCACATCTTCTGTAGTGGCCGGAAATACCAATTTTCTGGGATAAAGTTACAGCCCTGCATCATCTGTCCTTGCAAGTCAGAATGTGTCATATGGACTGGGAGATGTTTGCTTCACCATATATGATTTTTTTAAAGGTGTTTTCTCTTATTAAGGATTTTTCCTAATGCATCTTCCAGTACCTCTTGGAGGGGGCTTATAAGAAGGCTGGGGAGGGACGTTTCACAAGGACCAAGAGTGATGAATGGCCTTAAGCTGAAGAAGGGTAGATTTAGATTAGCTATTAGGAAGAAATTCTTTACTGTGAGGGTGGTGAGGCACTGATACAGGTTGCTCAGAGAAAGGATGGATGTCCCATCCCTGGAAGTATTCAAGGCCAGATTGGATGGGGTTCTGAGCAACCTGGTCTAGTGAAAGGTTCCCTGTCCATGGCAGGGAAATTGGAACCAAATGATCTTTAGGATCCCTTCCAGCTCAAGGTGTTTTATGATTCTATGGTCTTCAACCCTATTGCAGCACAGCCTTAACCAAAAGTGTCGCATAAAACTGCACAATCCAGTCCTATAATTGAAAGCAATGAGAACTGAGAAATAGAGATGAATTTAGCAACAGGTCAAGAGGACAGCATTATATTGTGCCAGGGGAGGTTCAGGATGGACATCAGGAAGAATTTTTGCTCTGGAAGAGTGGTCAAGCCTTGGAACTGGCTACCCAGGGAAGTGGTGAAGTCACCATTCCTGGAAGTGTTCAGGAAATGATTGGGCATGGCACTTAATTCTATGGTTTGGTTGGCATCGTGATGTTCAAAGATTTGGCTCAATGATCTTGGAAGTCTTTTCCAGCCTTACGGAGTTTATGATTCTAGAGCTGTGCCCTGATCCGCACATTTTCATCCAAGGCAGCACACTAGCTAAGGTCATGTAGTGAAAAATTGAATTAATTTTCATTTATTTGTGATGTATTTCAGGGTTGTGTTGTGTCTGACCTTTTAAACTTTAAATATAGTTAAGCTGATTGAAAGCATCATCACACTCATGCTCTGTTCTATGTTCTTCTGTGTGTTTGTGCCACCGGCGCTGCTGATACTGGTAGGAATAGAAATTCCTACCAGCCCACCATGAGGCCATACCAGGGAGACAGACCTCAGCTGTCACAGAGTGGGAAGCAGTGCAGCTTTGTTACTGCAGCACTCACTTCATCAGCTCCATACCCTGCTGCTCAGCAGGAGCAAATCAGCTCGTACCGTGTGGGGGTGTGCCATGCTGGGTAGAAATGCCTACAGCTGGCAGGTAGAGAGCTGTACTTTCATGTTGAGAGCACCTGGTTGTCTTCATTTGTAATTGGCTCAGGTACCCTAATGCTCGCAAAGGAGGATAACTTATTGTGTTCCTGATTATTGCCCATATAATGTGTAGTTGAATGTGTTTATTTATATGTGTTTAATTACAGGAGAATTTATACCATAGGTTGCAGTTACATTTCTAAACAGTAGAGTTGTGAAGACTTGAAGTCCTTGATGAAAAGCAATGTAAATTGAAGCATAATCTATTATATGTAAGTGATGGAGCTATTAAAATCTGATCCAAGGGCCACTGATATGAATAACAAGATGCACAGTAACTTTACTGAGCATTGAATGAGCCTTTAATGAGGCTCTCAAATTAGGAAATGAGCAGTAAAGATAAATGTAACTGTAATCTCTTGTATAAGCTGTTTATACCACATTCCTTAAGTCATCATTTTCATTGCTTTTGAGACTATATGTCATCTAAAAAGACAATATTGTATGCAGATGTTTCTTCCTTGAATACAGTGTTGTCAGCCACTTGAAAGACTCCTTCAAACACTTCAAAAGTCTAGGTATCTTCACCAACTGCCTTCTTGACAAGTAGGTCATGTCCTCTGTGTGAAGGAAATAATTTTATTCTGACTCAAATAATAGAAGGCAGGATTTAAATGTGTCTGTGGTATAAATAGACAAATGTGCACACCTAGAGAGTACCATTTTGCTTTGTCTTTGCTGTCAATGAAGGTAAAGGGGTTGATGACGCTGAAGAAGTCACCTGTTTTTCAGGAAGTAACAAAGGCAGCAACTCTGAAGTACAGTCCCTCAGCTCCTTCCAGTCTGATTCCGGCGATGATAATGGTAAGAAATGATTTCATCTTTATTATGCTGGGGGAAAAACTATTTATCTCTCTCTCCCTCTAATATTATTAAAAAACTTACGTGACATCTTGAAACCCTTTAACGACGCCGAAAGTAAGAAAGTCGTGGGTTCAAGCCCTGACTTTGTGTTCCACTTACTAAATTATAGGAATGTAATAAGAATCTTGATGCTTGGGGCTGTTGTATCAGGACCGAGAGAATTAGAGGTATGATACAGCAGAGTCACATTGCCAAGATGTAAGTTGACTAATAGGTTGCGAGTGAAACTGTAGAATTAATATAATTTTCCTTCTGGGAAGAGCGTGACTTTCATGTTTCACCAGTCTAATAAAAGGGATTTCTGTGCTATTTGCCAGGTCTCATTCATGGTCCCAACAAAACTCTTCTGGTTTTCAGCCTCAGCAATGAGCAGATGAGCCAGTCCCCAGCGTCTTGGCTTCTCCCTGGCAATCACAGCTCAGCAAACAATAGAGCACCATTATAGCATTGTTCAGGGCATACTCAGTGCCTGCCTCTCATGTCCTGCATCATTATCTCCCTGGGTGACACAGGCAGAGCCATACACAGCCCACTAAAAGGTCCACAGAGTCAGAGCAAACCTTTGTTCCTGCAGCCCGCATATGTTGAGCAGTGGGTCTGAGAAAAGTCAAGATGTTTCTGCTGGGGAGGGATGGTGGATGTGTGGGAAGCCGCATTCAGACACACAGGAAAAGACTATCACAAAGGAATCGTACTTGGTTTCCTCAGCCACCAGTTAATGAACTGTCTATAGACTCAGTTCCTCAGTCATGTCATGCAGTTGTTCTCTAGGAACTCTGAAATGTTGGAAAAGCACTGATGACAAAGTACACTTGCAGTTCCTTTTGGTCTGCTGTGGCTGAAGCATTACAATTATTTTTGTCAGGCTTCCCAATGCTTTTCTGCCCCTGCACCAAAAAGACCCCTTTAGCCTTTTTTTAAGATAAGTATTTTTTAATGATATGTATTTACATTATAGTTACCTTTGGAATAATTATTCAAGTGGTCATTTATTGTACATTGTTACTTTTTATATCTCACAAATTCTAATTAGACATTTCAAACTCCTGATCCTGTCTCCACTGAAATCATTGACACAGTACCCACAGAAGATGGATTGGACCTTCTGTGCCCACTCATTTTTTGTGAAGGCTGCATTTAAAATATGGCCTTTAGAGATAACATTTCTAGTTCAGGGTTCAAACAAATCCATATCTTCAGGGAGAACGAGGGAAGAAACTTAAATCATCTGAGTCATTTGCAGAGATCGATGCAAGAGCACACGCTCTGGTTTGCTTGAAGCAGCAGGGAAGGTTTGCAGTGAAAGAGCCTAAAGGGCAAAGCCAGGCATAAGTAAGCATATACATACTCACATGCCTGTACTTTAGGGCTCATGGATATGCCTCCTGAAGCCATAAATCCTTGCTCTTCTTGTCATTTTAATTCTTTGTACTTCACATACCTGCAAAGGTTAGTAGGTTGTCAGTGAAAACACAACAAATACAGTTCAGCATCCATGCTCTTTGATGAGACAGGACAGTGGCTCCTTCTCCAAACCCCTTCCTCCAAAGCCAAGAGCAATGCTGCTGACTTGTGAAACTGGGTAGCAGTTTCTGACTTGGGAAACCTATCTTGCAGCAGTGGATCACTGGGATGAATTCCACTGAAGGTGCGGGCACCTTCCACTCACCCTCTCCAGGGCTCTTGGACCTTTCTCTTGCTGTGTCAAGGGCTTGTCTTACCATGAAAACTCACATGGAGTGAGATTTTGAAGCTCTTTTTTTCTCTCACCTTATTTCTCCTGCATTTAAATTGTTCAGTTTCCCTAGTCTTTCTGTGAGTAGTTAGCAGTAATTTTTGTAGTCCAAAATCTGAGTAATTTGTATTTGAACATTGACTTGCCCTGAGCTGTGTGGGATGGGGTTCCCTCTTATCTGTGAATATGCTCTGCACAGCTCCCCCCAGAGCCACCCCTTAGTTACAGAGAAAACTGGCCCTGGGTTTTGACCTGTTTTTCACTCTCAGGTTTTTTCCTCCAACAGTTTACAGCTGCCTTCCATCTTTTTTCCCAGCCATGCAGCACTAACTGCATGGAGCTCCTTATTTTTCTATCATGTTTATTTTGCATTAGCCAGTACAAGTCTCTTTTGTATAATTACTCTTGCTGTTGATGGCATAAATATGCTGATCATGGACACAGAACAGGGGTCCTTTGGTTTATCAAGGCTCTTTTTGCTAAGCCTTCACTAGAACTGAGGAAATTGGATGATACACCTGATCCCATGCCCACAATTTAGCAAAAATGTGAAAATATTCAACATATGTCTGCACTGTTCACCCATTTCTTGTGATCTCTAAGCCTGTTGGCTGTGTGAAACAAAAAAGTATGTTTTTCCCCATGTTGCTCCAGGCAATTGGTTTTCTCATAACTAAAGACAAAGGAAAAGGGAAGGATCCACTGCCCACTCATCCAGAGCTTTCCTTCAGTTTTGATTTTTGGGTTTATTTCATGTTCTCAGAGGCAGGAGTGTTGGCTGGTGCGAAATGCAGATCATCTAGAGAACCACACAATATAGGCCTCCACATTAAACAGCTGCACAGTCTGTATTAATGATTTCAAGGGAAGAGTATGTTTTGATGGAAGAGCTGCAGAGAACACACAAAGCATTTGTGAAACTATTCTGTCAAACACAGGTCAAAATTTGAACCACAGCTACATGGTTGTGTCCTCCTAATTATAGCTGTGCTGCTTAACCTCCCTGAGGTATTGCATGGCATGGCACAGACAGTAAATAAGTAAAACATTCCTCTTAGGAAATAGATTGAGCTTAACACCATTTCTGATGGTGTGATGGTCTAAAAGATAATGATCTTTGGAACACATAGCACCATCTCTGGAGACCTCTAAGCAAGAATGAATTAGAAATTAGTGTCAGGTAGACAAGAAACTGCTTCGGTTAATTGAATCAGCTGACCAGTCTGCTTGAATTTATGAGGTGATACACATCATCCCATATGCCTTTCTGGAAATGCTGGTTTGGAATTTATCAGCACTCTGAAGATATATGGGATTATCTGAAATGAAATGTCCTGCAACCAACTGCATAAATCATGCATTGGTCAGCAGCCTTTTTTTTTTTTTTTTTTTCTTTCGATGTCAGTTCTGTCTTTTGAGAGAATTTATTGTGGTAACCTATGATGTGTGTTTTAAATACTAACCTGAAGCTGTCCTTCCCCTCCCTTTATTTTCTGCTTTCCCTCCCCTGCAAGCTTCCATAGTGACTGTCATACAGCTTGTCAACAATGTAGTTGACACTATAGAAAATGAAGGTATTTAAATTTTTTTCTTTCTTGTTATACAACAATGCTTCCTATTTTCATTGTGAAACATTCCAGCAGAACCTCACTAATCTACACTGACCAGCAATCCTGTGGCAGGGATTGGGTTTTGCAGATCAGCATGTTCACCAGCAAACATGAAAATGCCAGAGGAATGTACCACAAAATATCTGTGGGTAACTGGAGGTGGTAGAAAAGGTGTCAAACCTTCATCCTCTTCTGTTCAAGTCAATGTTTCTGCTTGTTTATTCTCATTGCCTTCAGAGAAAATAATAGACTGATAATGGAGCCATATCATTGACATGATCCTGGCTGCAGAGACTGGGAAACAGAAGATGACACGGGAAGTCTGTAAAGTGTCCCATGCTGCAGCAGAGCTGGGTTCTGTACCCCAGTGGTATCACACAGAGAGGAGCACAGTGCTGGCTGGCTGGTGGCAGGTTTCTCCCAGGAAACCCTGCCAAAGAGCGGATGTGTGGGCACAGCTCCACGATGCCGTGGCTCTCCCATGGCGTTGGTGTGCCCATTCAACAGAGCATGGCAATGTGCTCCAGGGAGCCAGCACTCACCTCTTCCACTGACCTCCTGGGTAACCTCAGGCATATCATGTTATAAGTGAACCTGTAATGCGGGGATATCACTATTTTCTTTATTCCATAAAGCACTGAGGAAATGTCTTGTTATCATAGATGAACATTACTTTTATTTATTTTCCAACATTTTTCCTACCCTTGGGCAAATGTCAACTCAACATCAACTCAGGTTATCCACAAATCAAAAATTTCATCTGTCCTTAGCAAATTTCAGATTTACATACTTCAGCTAATCTAGTCTGCATAATCCATGAAGATGATTAAGTAAATTATTTTTGTGAAGCTACTGATTTTTTTCTTGAGCCAACTGTAATTTTGAAAAACACTTTTACTCCTAGCTAGTGATGCCACTTGAGTATTTGTTCATAGTACATTTACTGAAGTATAGGCGTGCCACTCTTCTCACTATCAAAAAAAAAAAAATTAACTAGCCAAGGTTAATTCAAAAGAAAGTCTCATTCAAAAAATTAAAAAATTACCTTGAAAAGAAAGCACACAAGCACTGCAAATGACCTTGCCTTTCTAAGGGAAAGCTTAAGCAAACACACTGGCTCATTATCATCCTTTACAGGTCAGAAAAAGCCAGTCTGGCAGTGGTTTCAAGAGACTGTCACTGAAAATGCTTTGCCCTCTTCCCAGTTCCTTACATTAAACTTAGGATTCTTAGGATTGTCTGCTGTGCAGCAGAGATGTTGGAAGTGGTGAATAATTAGCCACACTGGAGCTCTGGGCAGAACTGCTGCCACAGAGTCATGGAAGGATGGGGCTCCTACCCCAGGGACCTGCCTGGGGTTGTGCAAGTCAGCGAATTAGTGAGGTTCTCCTGGATCCTGATCCACACAACTCAGAGGGCCCTGACACATCTTGGGTGTAGTGCCATGACACTGACTCCAAAACAGCAAAATCCACTACACAAAGAAGAGGGAAGTGCAGAAGAGAGGTAGGGCCGGTTCAGACACTGCTGCTAAACCTGTAGTAGCCCCAGCCCTCCTCGCTCCAGGACATGGCAGAGCAGGTGGAGAACTCCTGCCTGGCTATCGAGCTAAGGGAGAAATCACCATCACCCCATGCACCATGTGGTGATGAGCAAGGGCAAGTGTGGTCTTAGTAGGTGAAGGGCTGGAGAAGTCTTCTCTGCCCTCGCCTGTGTCTGAGCCACAGAGGTCACAAGCCATAAAGGTCTGTTTCTCCTGCCAGACCTCCTCCAGCAATGTCATCCAGAGACTTTGCCCGATGACTTCTTGCATGAAGCCAAGTAACACGCGGCTGAACAAGAGCATACCCATCTAGAAAACGCTGCAGCTTATTCCCCGCTCTTGTCTCACATAAAACCTCCTTCCTTGCTCTCTCCCCGACCCCTGCACCCTCTCCATACTGGAATGCCTCCCTCCCCACCAGCTAGCATGGCAGTGCAGGTGGGAGGTGGGTGTGGGGTTGCGGAGCATTGTAGCTGATAGCCCCATTAAATGGCTTTGTATTCTATTCTATTCAGGTTCTTATACCGTGCCCATCACCATGGTATCTGAGCCCAGGTGGGCCCAGATTTGTTTGAACCGGCCCTGAGAATGGTAGATTCTTATTTTTCTGTTTCAAAGTGAACAAGTGAGAGAAAAATGTACTTTGCAATTATAAGCCGTGTCGATGGTGGATAGCCCTTTTTTGTGCTAAGAATTACAACTCTAATGTAATTCCGTATCTGTTCAGTGAGGGTAAATAATTAAGATATGATAGAAAAGGAATATAATACACGACATAAACATTTCTTTATGTATGTCTGCGTTTGACAGGCAAGCTTATCTTGTAAGTTAAAATAAAGAATAATTAAAAATCCTACTAAAATGACACCATGGCAGCTTTACTTTAGAAAATTGCATGCAGAGTTTTGTATTTTCACATGTAATACAATGCTGGTGAGAAGCTCCGAGTTACCAGTTTTTGCTTTTCACTTTGTATCTGACAGTGTCTGTTATGGATCAAGGACAGAACTACAACAGAGGTGATTTTTCTGGGGCACCTTCTGCCTGTGGGCCAGGGTGGGCAGAGCACTGACTTGATCTATCATTTGGGTTTTTTTTCTTGAACTGCTTCACATGTACTCTTTTGTTTGAATTCTCTTGGGTTCAAAAGATGCATGAGAATGGCCAGCCACTTTTTTTGTTTCAAAATTCAGTTTTCAGTCAATCAGATTATTTGCTTGCACACTTTCTTTCTTGAAGTCATTGGAGGTGGAAGGGGAGCGAAGATAAGATTCCATAGGCATGCTGACTGCATTTAAAGATTTTTTTAACCGTGAAAAGCAGTAATTCAGACATTTTGATTTCTTGGACTCATAGTTTCTAATACAGCCCAGTAGCATCTCAAAAAGCAAAATGTCTGAGAGTGGCCGTGTTTTGTTTCTTTGCTTGTTTGCATTAGCATCGTGATGCAATTTATTCTCCTCCTCTACCCCTCTGGTCAGAGCATGGCTGACCGGTGTCCGTGGCCTGTGGGGCATGCTGTGGTTTGAATGTGCTGTGAGGACTCAGGCAGGTGCATGCAGGTCACTGCTCTCCTCTGTGGTCCCATCCTAACAGAGCGCTGTGGTTCTCTTCCCTGCTGCAGCGTATCATTGGGATACCTCTGACTGGATGCCCAGTGCTCGCTTGTCCGACATTGAGGAAGTGCCCAATTTTGAGACGACAGATGGAGGCTTGGCTCATCACAGCAGCACCAGAGAACTGGAAACAGATTACTACCTTGGTGGCTACGACATCGACAGCGACTACCCTCCCCCTCACGAAGAGGAGTTTTTGAGCCAGGACCAGTTACCACCTCCTCTCCCAGAGGATTACCCAGACCAATATGAAGCCCTCCCACCTTCACAGCCGATCTCAATGGCAAGTACTCTCAGCCCTGACTGCAGGAGACGGCCACACTTCCACCCGAGCCAATACCTCCCTCCCCACCAGTTCCCCAATGAGACGGACACCACAGGATCACAGACTGGGAACGAATTTAGTACTTTTGCTGTTGGCCCAAGCCAGAACACAGAAAATGCTAGTGCAGGTAAGGTGCCCTTAACCTTGCACAACTCTCTCAACACCTCCTCCTCTGACGTCTCAGCCGGCTGCGGCTTTGATGACTCCGAAGTAGTCATGAGTGACTTTGAAAGCGTGGAGGAACTCAGCCTAGAAAATGTTCACATTCCATTTGTGGAGACCCAGCAGCAGACACAAGTGTAAAGGAAGCTCCTTTTTTCTTCCTCCTCCTCTTCTTTTTTTTTAATTTTGTCATTTGGTCCAATTAATAGTATAAATATTGAGAAGAAATTTTGCTGAAGGTGTGTCTATATATATATATTGGGCAAAGAAAAGTACAGTATAACCCATTATTAACTTGTTCAGAAATGATACTGTATGTGCAGACATGAAGAGACCAATTGTGTTAAGTATTATACATCACAAAATTGTTACAGACAATCTGGAGAGTATACCTTCTATTTATTACCAAGAGTAAAACTCAGCTTTTAAGGCAGGGGGAAAAATAACTGCTAAATAATTTCTCTCTCACAAAGTTGGGTTGTTTTGGGGTTTTTTTTTTGGCATTTTGTTATTAAAAGTGTTACAGTGTTATGATCTCCCCACAGTATTAAGGAATAGGTATGGATCATTCTAGAATGCACTGTTGCATGAAATTTTATGTCAGCAAAGAGTGAAAGCAATTGATTGCTGGGGCTGCTGCATACAACATGTCAGATGGCTAAAAAAAGCAACATTTCTGAATTGACCTATCAAAGACAAGTGACCAGTTATTTGTCCATAAATATTTATCTATACTTTTGTTCATTGCATAGCATTTCATTCTACTTTGTGTAGAGTAATGCACATACATACAGTTTGTATTTACTCTAAATTGGCATACATTGGTTGTCATTTTCAAAACCTGATGTCAGGTGCATGTGCATAGCTTTGCCCATGAGAACTTCCCGAAATGTCAGAGTTTGGCTCAGGAGTGGCCTGGTTTTGCCCCAGCTGTGTATGCACAGCCTCTTAATGTGTATGCAATGTGAACATGGATCTGAAAACTTGAGGTAACCTACACAGCTGATCGTTTTTTGGAAATTTCTTGCTTAGGCAATCAGTTCTTTACCAGCAGTCCTCATGCTGCAGTTTCTGCAGCAAAATTATTTGCAATTAAGTTACCTATAAGGCAGCTGTAACCTCACATTGTTAATTTATCATCTTTTGGTAAATCCCTAGAGTTCACAGGATGAGTTCTGAGCTGCTGTAGACTGACTCAGTCGGTGGAGCTGAATGAGTGAACTGTGGCCAATGATCCGTTACCAGATTTTCCACTGGGTGCATGATTTTGTAGGATTTGAGTACATCCAAAGGTTGTTTGCAGACTTTATAGTATTGTTGTGGAATCAAGAAAACCATGACATCTGTATGCTTTTATGCTTCCCTCAGCCTGATTGGAGTAAATGGTCATTCACATTGATTTGGTTAGAGTAGTCAAGTGCAACCTGGAAATATTGGATTTTCACTCAATGTATTAAAGCAGAGTATACACACCTTGGTGCTCTGAAAATGTTTTTACCCCACTGCATTTTACAGCGTCCGTGTACCTTACTAGTGAATGTGAGTCTACAAGCCTGCATTACTGTTGGGTTTTCGTCCATTTCTTCCATGGCATAATTCTGTCATTCTGAAAAGCTATTGAATACCTAAATCATTTTGATAAATGAACAGATTCATTAGCAGGTTTCCTGTGCTGCTTTCCTTGTCCTGTTCCTTGGTCAATCACCTTAGCTGGATAGTTTCAGCAGTTGTATGCCAGGGCGTGTTCTTGACTGACATGAGTTTCACACAAAGTTTAATTGTGGGCTATTTCTTGACATACAGAAAGGGTTTGTTCAGAAATTTTCCCCAACACAAAGAAATTACTAGTAGAATGTAATTTAAATAATTGCAGCTTGTAACACTTTTAATAAAACAGGATTTCTAGAATTCTTGGAGTAGGTACAGTGTATTGCTGCTTCCCTCCAATAGCTCGTGTAGCTGTGAAAGATTGGTGTGGATTTTTTTTCTTTGGGATGATGCAGCAATTCTTGAGTAGAAAACAGCTCATTATGCAGGTATATGAATAAACTGAGTGAACTTCTGGAGAAAATGTACTGCACATACAAGTATTATCAAGTACTTGTCTGCAAATAGGTCCTGTCCATTGAATTTATGAATGTCACTTGGTCTTCTCAAAGTAAACATGCTTCTGTAACAGTGATATATTCTGAATGTGCTCATGGTGCGTTTCAAACCCTTTCCCCTGATATTATTCCTGTGTTTTTGAGAAGAAAAAAATGCGGAAATTTGTATTGTGATTGCAAGGAACTGAGGGATTTGCCAGAAGGCCATAAAATGGTTTGGCAAGCCTATAGGCACGGATAGAGGATGACTCGTATTGTTCATGAAGTTTGTGTTACAGGAAAGGAAATGCAATTAGATTGATGTCTCTTCAAGAGTTAGGAGCATCAGAGTTGGCAAAGCAATTCTGCAAATTTAGCTGCACTTTTTAAAAGCTTGTATGACCTTCTGAGAATGTGATGCTCTCTTAGCATCAGGCTGCAGTTTACATGAGGTTTGCTCCTACTCAGCTTTGGTTTGAGACATTTTTATCCATTATGCAAGTAATTCTGTTCATGCCCCCAGATAGTTATTAGGTGTACTTGTCACCTGTCTTCTGTAGTGAAAGTTCTTGCGTAAGCGTGAGACACTGGTATCAAACCTTTACTGGAACATATCAAAAGTGTCATGAGGGACAGCACGATGGGAGCCTAGTGATTGCCATACAAAAAAAAAAATCAATGTTTCTTACCAAGCTTGTTGCCTCAGTAATATATTGTTGATAGTGAGTTTTAATAGTAAAATATGCATAACTACAATGTATAGTATTTTTTCTGTTTGATGTTGTTGCCATTTCATTTCACTGAACACCTACTTATTAAAGTGCTGTTGGGAAGGTGCCAAGGATCACCCGTTCAGCCTTCTCTGTCCTATTCATGATTTCTATACCTCAATATCTCCTCCCCTCCAAATCCATCTTCAGATTCCCCTCTGTGAATATTGGTATTTCTGTGGCCTTTCTGGTTTTGTTCAGGCTCTTTTTGATAATGGTAAGACCCAAATGCAGATGTAAAGGTGAAATACCTCTTAGGGAGTAAGATTTTCATGTTAACATCTCTTGTTAAACCAAGCCATTTTATTTTCTTTTTAATTACTGCTCGACATGAACAAGTAAAAATCTTCTAATCTGGAACATAAGAACACATTCATAACATAATGTAAGAATTACTGTTCATATTAGCACTTCCTATATATATTTTAAGAATATATATTTCCTTTTTCTGCCATGTGATGATTTTCATATCACTGCTGCTGTCAGGTCCCTGGTTCTGCAAGAGCTACCCTGCACATCTCTGCCTATCTTGTCTGTCTGTATTTCAAACTGCATTCCTGTAGATGGCTCCACTACACGACATTTTCTCTGAGAATCATCTGTAGCAGATTATTTCATAGGCTTAATGAAGTAGTTTTAAGTATCACTGGCTTATAACTTAGGATCAAGAAAGTTTTTGCTTTTTGGAAAGAAGCAGTAAGAGAAAAAAGCAACTTGTTAAAATACAAATACACATTTATATCAAAAATCATGAACTTTGCCAGGGTGTATGAGTCTAAGTAAAAGGGTGCTTGTTCTCTGCATTTTGATCAAGTTGAGAATGTCGTGCACAGTGCTGGCCTTTTTAATAAAGCTGGCAATGGAAAGCTCCTTACAGTGACTACAACATGATTTATTCTGCCAATACCATGCCAATACCACATTAGGTGGCCCTGTGCAAAAGGAAAAATTAGGCTTATGTACCATTCTTAAGTATGCAAATTACTTTGCCTTTGTACTATAAATATTAAAAAAAAAAAAAAAGGCCAAACGCCCCCACAAAACTATAGATAATGAATGTAGTTGCTGTCCTTGACCAGTATCTTAAAATGGAATAAAGGGCCGAATGTGACACCATGGAGCTGTACAATCACTTTCCTCTTATGGGAGAAAATGGACAACCCCGCTAGAAAATCTACATAAAGTTGCCTTCCTCCAGGACCCTCCTACAGGATGCAGCATATTAGGCAACCAGGAGAACTTTGGAATGCAGAGGTTGGCTACAGACTGTGATTTCCTGTCAATAGAGTTCTCCTTAAGCTCAGTGATGTCTTTGATCCCAAACTATCCCAGGGGTTTCTTTAACATATAATTCCAGTGAAAGGCTGGAAGGAGTCAAAGGCTTCTCACTGCCACTGTTTTCCTGAACCTGAAAGTTGTGTGTGCCATCTGTCAAGCAAGGTCTCCACCTGTGCATGTCCCACAAGGAACTTAAATTTTGGTCTTCGGAAATTTTTCTCCCAGTCTGTAAATTCGACAGTGTAGTCTAAAGCAGTGAGAGCCTTGATGTATCAGTACCCCCTCTAGTCAGAAACTCAGTGTGGCTGCAGCACAGTGAATAAAAGCATGTCATGAAATGCTGATCAATGGGGAGGCAGCAGCTGTTGTCTCTGTGAGCCAGGCAGAGACATTCTGAGAACGTGACATAAAAGTTGTTGCTCTGATCTCCTATAAATTCCATCATAAAGAAAAACGTGCTGAACAGGACAAATGGCTGAGACCACACTTTACTCCTCATGGAAAAAGCTAAATTGATGCTATAGTAAGTATATCTTTACAGTCAATAACTGCAGTCATGGGAGAGGGAGGTGAAGGTGCCCTGGACCAGTTCTGCTAAGCTTCATGTGAAAAGGAAGCATCCTTAGTAATGGAGGAAGCCAGCTCTTCTGAACCAGTATGAAAGTATACTTGTGCTTTGTAGATAATGTTTGGAGCTATTCACTTAGCAATAATGGGCATTTCATTGGTTTCCAACAAGAGAGTTACATCTTCAGCTTCATTCCCTGATGATTTACATCATTTACCATGTGGTAAAAACTGTGCTTTTTGCCTGTTTGCATCTCTGCTCCTCTCAATGCACCAAAATGTGATTTGAGCCTTAGAAATTTAGACCATTGCCCATTACCCATGGTTTATAGCCTGTGTTTCGTGAACTTGACATTTAACATCTCCATTATCAGAAGGGCCATCCAGTTAGTAAATTAGCTGCATCATCCAAGGGACGAACGGATGGGGAGGAAATGAAATT